CTGCAGGGGGCTCCACAGCTCCTGGTTGTGCTGCAAGTCACTCCAATTTCTCATCTGTGGAGCCAGAGATGGAGGTGGCAAGAGCTGGGATCAACCTGTCATGCTGAGTAAGCTGGGCTGGGATGAGATAATGCCACCTGTGAAAATCTCAGGAAGATCCTGATGCCAGACAGACAAGAGTATTATTAAATGGAAAGTTATTATATGCAGGGGCTGCTCCCCATTTCCATGGTTTTTTGGGCCTTGTCATAGTGATGCAAACACAGTTTTTATACCGTGCAGGGACTGTCCTGCCCAACCCACTCTGGCAGGCACTAGGGGAGACAATGGATTACCTGCTGCCATCATTCCCAAATTTCCATTAAGGAAATCAAGCGTAATTTACCTGTGAAAACATTCAGGTCCAAACTTGCCTGAGTCCTCCCCGAGTGGCAGAGATTTTGTCTGGTTTGGTTTGGGGAGAAGAAAGGAGTTGGTGCTCCCAGAGAGCACGAGTGCACAGAGGGGTGGTGGTGGCCCATGTCAGCTGCCTGTGAGAGGGCACAGGGATGTATCAGAGCATTGACACCCAGGGTCAGCAGAACACCTGCTCGCAGATGTACAATTACTGCTTTGAAATGGGATTTTGCTGGAAGAAGTCCAGGTTAAAAATTATTCTCTGCTGAGCTGAAAATCTAAAATGTCTGAAGGTGCATGGCTGGGACCGGGTGGTGGGAGGGTGGGCAGACACCTCTCACCATTCCCTGATTTTCTCCGTATTTTGCCCAGAGGGATTAATTGATGCTTAAAGGAAAGGGAAGTGCTGTTTTATGAGTGAAATCTGTTGTCTCATTCATTATTCATCGGGAGGTGATTGGCAGCTTCCAGGCGGCGGGTCACAGGCACTAAAGGGTGAGCTGCTGACTGACAAGGTTAATTGCTGCCTGCCGTTAATGCTGATAACGATTTATGTTGACAATTCCTGGTATTCCTGGCGCAGCCGGAGGTTTGTCATGCGGGGTCAGCCCCGTCCTGCCCCTGCTGTCCCCGCAGCTGGGAGCTCCCGTTCCCTCGGCTCGTGGGGAGGGATTTTGTTCCCTGAGAAGGTCTCTCATGCTAAGTGATGCAGAGGCAGCTTTGCAAAGGCATCCCTTGCTTTTACCTTTTTTCCTTCTTTTTTTTTTTTCTTTTTCTTTTTTTTTTTCTTCCCTGTGTTCTTTGCATATTGATCAGGGTTCAGAGCATTAAAGTGAGTCTGGGCTTGGCTCTGCTGATCCCCCTCAGCACCAGCGTCAAAGCTTTGCCTTTCCGGGGGCTCAAGCGAATAGAGATGTGAAAGATTTTTGAGGGTGACCCTTAAAAATACTTAAAAAATGGGAAGGAGTTGTCTTTATTTCTGTGCCACTGAAGTCCAGAGCCACCCGTGGGGCTGTGCCTCCACTTTTGGTGTTTGTTTTATCTCTGTAGAAAGGGCAGAGCTCTGACTGCACTCACTGCCCCCATCCCAGGAACTGCAGAGGTTCCCTCCCTGCCTCGATATAACAAAGCAGAGCCATAAAGATTTAGATTATTAAACACTGGCCTTTAGGGTGCTCTCAGCTTTTATGGGGCTAATAAGATTTTTGACTTACATGGGAGGGAAGAGGCAGGCAGAGCCTTTATGAACCTGGCAGCCTTGTTGGGGCTCCTGCTCCTCTCTGTGATGAAAAGCTGAGGCAGCCTCCAGGCAAACCACGACAGAGAGAGCTGCTGTGGATGGCTCTTCATGGAATATCCAGGTTTGATTACCTGTCTGATATCGAGCTGTGAGGGCAGGGAGAGCTGCCCTGGCTGAGCCTTATTGTCTCTTCTCTCCTCTGGCCAAAACTGGGACCTTCCCTTCCTCTCCTGAGACCACCACCACTGCCCCAAACGTGCCCAAACCCCCTTGGTGAGCAGCACCAGCAGCATTGCCCAGGTGTTTGGGTCCAGTTGGGAACTGGTTTTATCACCACAGGCTTTATGGGTGATAAAGTTTAACAACAGTGGGAGTTTGGGACAGAATCTGAGCAAGAAGGAAGGGAGATGTTGAGTATAAACAGGCATAAACTTCATTATTTTCTAGAAATTATTTATTTAAAATTTAAAACCATATTACTTCATACAGCAAACTGTGCACTTTGATATATCACAGTGTCTTAAAAAGGAAAATAATCAGAATTTTTTCTTTTTTTTTTATTTTTTGGAAATTGTATTTACATCAGCCTAGAATGATCAGCAAGTAACACAGTTACTATGAAACCAAAATTGTTACAAAATGTTTACAAAAAACTATATTCATAGAAATTCTGCATGTCCACAAAGGAAAATCCCCTGAATGTCACGGAGACTATTTTTTCCTTTTTTCCCACTCTTTTCTGTTTATTTTTTTTCTTTTATTTTTTTTTCTTTTATTTTTTTTTGAGAAACATGTCAAAGTAAGGTACAGAGCAGAGGGCTCGTGATGCCAATGGGAATAACCCGTGCCCTGCCAGCCCCGAGCACTCAGGGGACTGCTGCACCCCACGGTCACTGGGTGAACACCGGGTGAAGCCACCAGGAGCCACGATGTCCCTTTGCTGTGACCTGCCTGGAGAGCCTCTGTGCTGGCACCCAGCCCAGTCCTGCTGCCAGCACCGAGGTGGAGCAGTGGGTGCCCAGAGCTGGCTGCCCTTTGCATATTCCATCTCTCTGCGGGTCTGTCCCCTCGACACCAGACCTGACACGTGCTGTTGGTTGACTCCAAACAGAAAATCCACCCCAGGGCAGCTGCTGGCTGTCCCTGCTCTGTCTCACGGGAGAGTTGGAGGGAAAAAACAAGTGATAAGGGGATGGTGAGCCGAGGTGACAACAGTTTAGATACAGTTTAATAACCCAAACCTGCTTTGCCTGTATTTCCTGCTCAGTTTTCCAGTCCCTCTGCCAAGTGAAGAAAGGAACAGTGTTGGAAGTCAGATGATTTCAGACTGAGTTGTCGCCAGTCCCAGGTCACGGACATGCTCACAAAAGGCTTTGAGGCTTTGTCATCGGGTCTGTCCCTTCCCAAACCTCCCAAGACGTGGCTGTGAGGCACTGGGCTGGCTGCTCCTCCTCGGGCATGAGCACGCATGGCTTTGGGCTCCACCAGGAGCACACGGGCAGGCTCCAGGAGCTCTGCTGGCTGAGCTGCCCCCGGTCCCGCGGGAAGGCTGGGGCTGACATCGTGCACATCCCTCAGGTCACAGTGAGCGGGGCCAGGGGAAGGCTCTGCACCAGCCTGGGGTCCCAGCAGCTCCTCTGCACTTTTTGGGTGCTGCAGAACATTCCCTTGTTGGATGCCAAGCTGATCAACTCAAAGCCACGATGTAGATGCAGGAATTTGGCTGCAGTTCGTGGCTGATTTAGGGGTGTAGGGATGGAAGGAAAATGTTCATCTGCAGGGTTTGGTCTGGCTGGCAGTACACCAGCAATTCCAGATGCTCACCTGTTACATTTGTGAGTAAAATCAAATCAGGCCGCTGTCAATAAATAAATGGGGTTTGTGGTATTAGAACTATTTATTTATTTTTTTAAAAATCTGCCAAGAAGCAAAATGAATGCTGATTTCTGTGGTATTTTACTCTCTGGACATTTAAAGCCAGTTTCAGGCTTTGTTTGCATCTCTGCTTTTTTTTTTTTAGAGCTTAGAAATCCGCAAGGAAAACATAAAATCTACTACTCTGACAAGCCTAAGGATTTGCAAAGGAATACAGAAAGCATGTCATTAGCTTTGGGAAGCTGCCCCACACTTCAGTTCGTCCTCTGCTCAAGGTATTTGTGCAGCAAACTAGTAAGAATCTGATGCCCATTGCATTGGCAACTTTCATCCCTTATTTTTCATGGTTTTTGTGAAAAGGTGAAAATGAATGTAAATTCTTTGCATATCTTCACTTGAGTCAAAGTATGACAAATCACCTGGTTTTGCTTGGGGTCACTGTTGTTTCTTTACATCATGGAAAAAGCAAAATAAGGACAAACTGTGCTCCATGATGGGGTGGGGGGAGCAGCTCTTCCCCCTTGAGCTCATCTGCTAATTCTGCTCAGCTGGAGAGGAAGAGGTGGGGAAAAAATCCAAAATCAGCTACAGTCAGGTTTGTTCCTTTGGGTGAGGATAAACTTTCCAGAATCGCTGTGCAGCTCAGGAGGGCTGTGGTGGCCTCAGCACCAGCTGTACCCAGAGCTGGGTGCAGGGCTTGGGCACTGCTCCATCCCTGCCCCTCCTGCCCTCCACACAGGTGGGGTCCTGCAGGGTCTCTGTCCCTCTCACCCCTGCAGGGGAAGGGTGTTGCTATTTTCTACACCACCAGTGGTTAAACCAGAGCTTTTTTAAGCACCTTTGCATCACATGTGTGACATTCTGGGTTATGGTGGGCAGAGGAATTTCCATTTGTTTAATTTTGTTTAATGAATCCCACTGGCTGCCTGGCAGGGGTGGAGCTGAGGGAAGTAACTCGAGTGTTACCTTAGGTCAGCAGAGGGGTCTTTGGTAATTCTGCCTAAATTCATCTGCAGGACCAACCTTCTGGGTTAAGCAACCTGAAAATAAGAAGATAATTCATGGAAGATTTCCTAAAAACATTTTAGTGTGTGTTTGCTTAAATCCCATGGAGAGGCTGCCTGAGGAGTGGCAGTTCATGGTCAGAGCAGGAGGGATCCCAGGCTTGGCTCTGCTTCTCCCAGGTCAGTCCTGGCTGAGATTCGTCTTTCAGGTCCTGGATGCCATGGAGAGCACTTAGTCCTAAAGCAGGCCCACAGTCCCTCCCAGTGTGGAGCTGCAGTTCAGCACTGCTGAATTTCATGGAAATCGCTACTTTTGGCTCTTGGAAGCAGCTCTGCTCCTGCTGCTGCTGGAGCCTGTGGACGTGGTTGCTTCCCATGCTTCTCTGCAGGAGAGACTGAGCTTTGCTGGAAGAGCAGAGACGGAGCAGAGGACCTGGAGATCACGGTGTCACTCTGGGCTGGAGCTTGGCACAGGGAGTCTGTCACTCAGAGGTGCAGAAGGTCCTGTGCATGCCACGCTGTGCCCTCCCTGGCCCGGAGCTTGGGTGCATTTCAGGCTCACCTTCCCCTTCCAAGTCAGCTGCCCTGGCTCTGCTGAGGAACGAGTGTCACCTTCTGCCACCTCGCTCCCACGTGGCTGTCCCGCTCCGGGTGGCTGCGGCCAGCACAGCCGCGAGGTGAGGGCCACCGCCAGCTGCTCTGGGGCAAGCACAGCCTCCACCATCCTGGGGCTTCCCAGATGCCTCTCCCGTTCCTGGACAGTGTATCCAAAATGTGCTGTGTGTGTCGGTGTGGATCAGGTGCTCACACCTGACCGAGTGTTCCTGTTTATTGCCGTGCTGATGGAGCCACGCGCGGGGCTCCTCCTCACCCGCTCGGGGTTGGCTCAATTCTGCTTCTCCTCCATGTGTTTGCAGTGTGTAAACATCAGACTCCTGGGTGGTGGTTGGACTCCATGAGGCCTGGAGGATCGAAGCATTAAAAAAAAAAAGAATGAAAAGTAACAAAACAAACGCAAAAAGCCCCAAGACCCACGTTACTGTCCGTGCTTGGAAGTTCTGGCTCCTCTGCGGTGATGGATGCAGCTGGGTTGCGAAGGCCTTGTTCTTGAAATGAACAAACCAGGCTTTTTTATTTCTTTTTTTTTTTCTCTTGTTTTTTAATCCATTCTTCCCTAGTTAAGTGTGCATCCAGCCGTGTCTGCCGCAACTCCTTCCCTCCCACACCCCCCCAGTGCCATTCCCTAGGGGAACACAGGTGCCAGTCCGGTGTTGCAGGTCATGTTGTCCTTGCCGGGCAGCCGTCGGTCGTTGAAGGTGTGCATGTTGATCACGGCGTCCGTCTTCACCATCACGGGGGGCTGGGGCTTGTGCTTGACCCGGCGCTGGCAGGTGAGCGACAGCCGGATCTCGTCGGCCATGGCGCTGCAGAAGGAGCGCTGGGGACAGCGGGGATGAGGCCTTAGCATCTTAGCTCTTAGATTTTTCAGGTATTTGCAATCCCGCAGTTTGTTAGTGTGCAGCTGTAAAGCTCCATAGCCTCTCAGCCACTGTTCTCCCATTTTATTTGGGTAAAATAATTCCTCTCTAGGCCCTGGAATCAAGGGCATCTTACGGTCTCAGGCCCCAAAAATTATAAACAAAAGTGAGTTGTGGGGGAGCAAACTTGGAGTAAATGACTACATTACCTGAAGCTTTAACTGGGGGATTAACACCTGATATGTAAATGGATGAAACTTATATCTGCCTGAAAAACTTGTGAGCATGGTCCATATTGGGTGTGGCCCCTCAGAGGCTTTTGACTGCCCAAGGTGTCAAGGCCCTATTGAAGGCCTTCAATAAATACCCACTTTATTCTCCTGATCTTGCCTAGCCTGTGTTCTGGGGAGCCACTCCAAGGCATCAGGGACAAAACACCCCATTAGTGCTGCAGTGTTCTGCTCCCCAGGGGCAGCAGTGGGGCTGGAAGGGCTCAGCAGAGGGTGAGGACGAGGTTTGGGGCTGTTTCAGGTACTGGATGTGCTCTGGGGGTTTTTTTGGGCAGCTGGCTGATCCCTCTCCCTCGGTAAGCACTGTGCCTGTGACATGCTCAGTCCTGCACAAAGGCAGAGCTGGGGGTGGCTGTCTGGTGCTGTGTGATCCCTGCAGGGGACGCAGAGGGGTCTGACCCTCCTGCCACTGGGCAGCTTTCCTTTCTCTGTCTAGTCCACCATGAGGGCAGCTTGCTTTGATAACAAAAGTGAGTTGTGGGGGAGCAAACTTGGAGTAAATGACTACATTACCTGAAGCTTTAACTGGGGGATTAACACCTGATATGTAAATGGATGAAACTTATATCTGTCTGAAAAACTTGGTCCATATTGGGTGTGGCCCCTCAGAGGCTTTTGACTGCCCAAGGTGTCAAGGCCCTATTGAAGGCCTTCAATAAATACCCACTTTATTCTCCTGATCTTGCCTAGCCTCTGCCCAAGGTGTCAAGGCCCTGTTGAAGGCCTTCAATAAATACCCACTTTATTCTCCTGATCTTGCCTAGCCTGTGTTCTGGGGAGCCACTCCAAGGCATCAGGGACAAAACACCCCATTAGTGCTGCAGTGTTCTGCTCCCCAGGGGCAGCAGTGGGGCTGGAAGGGCTCAGCAGAGGGTGAGGACGAGGTTTGGGGCTGTTTCAGGTACTGGATGTGCTCTGGGGGTTTTTTTGGGCAGCTGGCTGATCCCTCTCCCTCGGTAAGCACTGTGCCTGTGACATGCTCAGTCCTGCACAAAGGCAGAGCTGGGGGTGGCTGTCTGGTGCTGTGTGATCCCTGCAGGGGACGCAGAGGGGTCTGACCCTCCTGCCACTGGGCAGCTTTCCTTTCTCTGTCTAGCCCACCATGAGGGCAGCTCGCTTTGATTTCTGGTCATGCACACAAGTGCACGTTCCACTGACTGCACCGGGACACCCAGGGCAGGGGCAGGACAGAAGAGCAGTTCTGTTGTTTCCTGAGCACTGATCAGCAATGATGGGCTGTGTCTGCGAGTGTGGCAGAGCTGTGAGACAGTGTGAGGCTTCCTGGTGAGCCCTGACTTGTTCCTCTTTGAATGGGACTGGGGAGAAGGCGTGGATAGTCACACCTGGAACGTGCAAGGTGATTGCAAGATGTAACAGCTGAGAAAGGCCCCTCCTAGGGACTTCTGTCTATATTTTAATGATTTATTTGTCAGCTTGCTCTAAACCACCCTACCAGTGTGTCCTGATCTGGCTGCTGCAGCAGCAGATGACCCTGATCAGAGCAGACGTGACTTTCCCCCGAGTGGAGGCCATCAGAGGGACAGCCCAGTGAGCCTCTGGGGTGGCATTTTAGGGTGCCAGGCTGGATCCCTCTGCCCCCTCCCTGCCTGTCTCTGGGTCAGCGTGCAAAGCCCTGCAGGCTGGGCTAGGGGAGGCAGAGAATCAGGGGGATCAGTCGGTACCTGCTCGCGCTCCGCTGTTTTGCGCAGCTTGTAGATGAACTCCACCATGGCCACGAAGACAGAGAGCACCAGGCCTGCTGCCAGGACAATGAAGATTCCTCCGATGTTCTGGATGCCCAGAGCACTGGCCTCCTTGTTCTCATCCTCAGGGCAGCCATTCCCCCGCCACCACTTCTCCTTCATGACGTGGAGCTTGTCCTCCTCCTGGAGCTGCAGGATGGCGATGGTGATCTTGTCCCTGTACGGTGACCCTGGGGGTGGGGACACCGTTATGCACAGAGGGGAAGTGGGACAAAAATCCCACCAGGGAGGGAAGGTGTTTGTGTTAAGCAGCACAGTTCAGACCTCTTTTCAGAGGGCAGACAGTGCTATTTGGAAATTTGCTGCTGGGAGTGGATTATGAATCACCTGTGCTGTGTTTGTGGTGACCAGCCCTCCTCGGGGGACCTGCAGAGCTGTCACTTACCCATGGGTGTCCCGATGCCGTAGCCTTTGGTGTCGATGAGCCCCCCGATCTGGGTGAGGTTGCAGTTCCTCTGGGTGATGTACTCGATGGTGGTGGACTCCATCAGCAGCGCGTAATCGGCCGTCAGCGTTCGCTGGATCCCCTCCTCGTTGTTCTTCACCAGAGCCGTGGGCTTGCTGCTCATGAATGCCCACATTTTTTCAAACGTGGAGATTTTTGATTTCTGGAAAACCGATACCCCCCCAGCCCCAAAATAAGAATGAATTCTCCATTTGCTGAAAGCTGGTATCTTTTAAGTAAATAAAAATAATAGTTGAGAGGAGATCACACAATGGAGCAACCATGAATTTGACTTTGTCTTAAATGCCTTCACTGCCCAGCATTGTCTGGATTTATGTTGCCTTAAAAAGAGACAAGGGTTGCAGCAAACATCCCACTGTGCGTGTGCTCCAGGTCCTGAGGTGGAAATGAACCTGCCCAAAGCCCTGCAGGCCCCCTTGACTCCCAGGCCATTGTAAGATCTGCTTAAATGTGTTCACTTCCTAACCAGGATTTGTTTACCCTGTAATGTTTCTGCATGCAGAAAGAACAGAGAGAGTTTTGGAGGACGTGGTTTTCTCTACACACACTCTGATATTTTTGTCTTTCCTCAAGCATGGCAAGGAAACGAGTCTCCTCTGAGATATGTGCAACTGCCAAACAGATTTAACGTACCCACGTAAACAGAAGCACAGAGATATTCAAGAAGATTGTCTTACGGCTAAAAATAAACATGGATATTCTTTCACTATCAGCAGACATTCTGTTGCAAAGGAAGGAATATGTTTTCTAGCTTGCTATTCATGTGAATGTTTTTTTTTTTCTCCTAGAAAATGTGTTGAGTGAGAAGAAATATGGTTATTTTACATCTTGCCATAACATTTGAAAAGTACCATTTATCTATGAGCACCTTCTGAGCTGTCTCTGTCAGTCATCACAAAAGTCAGAGAATCTCAGAATCCCAGAATGGTTTGGGCTGGGAAAGACCTTAAAGCTCATCCTGTTCCCCCACCCCTGCCATGGGCAGGGACACCTTCCACTGGACCAGACTGCTGGTCAGAACTGGCTTTAGTTTAGGAAGATTTCCCAGACTGGCAGAGCAGTGTCCTCCTGCCCCTTTGCTGGTCCCAGTGCTCTCATGGGTCAGTGCTTCTCCCTCAGACCAGCCCTGGGACAACACTTGGATATTCAGGTTTGTGTTCCCACTGCTGCCAGCTCCTTTATGCACCATTCTTCTTTCCTGCCCCATTTCTTGTTTTTTCTAGATCTGTTTTTGCCTTCTTATTTCGTAAGAGGCAGCTTAGGCAGGTAAAGCTCTTCTGCTCCTCTGTGAGCCTGGAGCTGGCTGATAAGTCAGAGGGCAGATAAGTCCCTGTGCTGTGTCTGGAATCAGGGTGGCCTCTCAGCAGCTGCTGCACGAGGAGTTGCTGCTGCAGAGCTGTGATTTCAGCCGTCCTTTATCTCTCCACAGGTCTCTGTCCTTCCATGAGAAAGCAGGAGATGGAGCCCAAGCCCAGCCCAACTGCTGCTGCCACAGCTCCCCGTCATTTTGTCAGTGTCACCCAAAATGTGCCAGCATAGGTTCTTCTGATAAAACCATAATGAATAATGGTGGGGTAGCTGAAAGTCCCTTGTAATGCTTTGTTTTCCAAATGCTTTGCCCATCCAGCTCCTTTATTCCAGCATGTTTAGCAAAAGTTAAACAAAAGCTCATTGCCCCAAAGCTGGGTAGTGCAGTGCTGTTCAAACAAAGGCTGTTCCTCTGCCTTTAACCCTGTGGGCCTCTTCTCCTGACTGAAATACCCAGGGATTCATTTCTTCTCCATTAAAGCTCGTGCTCGTTATAATCCACTTGATGAATGCTCAGCAGTGGATGTGCTGGAGCAAACTTCATTCAAGAGGCAGGATAATCTCCCTCGCTTGAAAATCTGGACCAGTGCCTGTAAGGTAGATTTGTGGCATCTATCAAACCTCAAAGAGCAGCAAGAAATGTAGCCTCCAAAAGGATTATTAAATATCTGTGCATTACAATGGGTAATTGAAATGAATCGTGTGCTCGGCTGGCTGATAAGGACTTGTTTAACATTTATATAGTTCACATCAGAGGCCTCTGGGTTCCTTGGCTCTCCCCCTCTCTTCTTCTCTTTCTGCATTTAATGCTCCTTGAGTGTTGACACAGAGCTTTTAACATCAGTGTTCTCCCAGTTTAGAGCACAGAGCAAAATAAACTGGCAAAAAATCAATAGGCTGCATTTAGTGAAGCAAATGGGACTTGCATGAGGCACTGGACCTCTTCAGGCAACTGAAATTACACGAGACAGGGCCCCCTGGAAGAGAAAAACCACTTTTCTCTTCTTCTCTTAAATCACTATTCCAGCTTGAAAGGACTTAATTGTGTTTGGGATGCCAGGAAGAGCCCAGATTTGTCAGTTCTGGCTGTGCTGCTTTGAGCCCAGCTTGGCCCTGCCAGGGGTGGAGCACTCCTGCAGCTGGAGCACTCCTGGGAAGGGCTGGAAGGGAGGATGGAGCTGCTGTCCCTGCTCACTGGTGCCAGATGAGAGCTGGGATGAGATCTGGGCTCAGGGCTGAGACCCAGCAGGGCAGAGGAGCCAGGGCTCCCTCCAGGAGGGAGGGCAGGACATTGGTGCTGCCAGGGCAGCTGACACCCAGCCCTGATCAGGGCATCTCAGGCTCTAAAACCTGATGAGAAAACTGTTTTTCCAAGGGAAAATTCCCCAGCTGTAATTCCCAGCACAGCCCTCACAGGCTGATGGTTTGCTACAAACCCAGAAGCAGCTGTGAGAGCAATGTTGGTCATCAATCCCAAATCACAGGAGCAGTGAGGGCAGGAGTGTCCCTGCTCCAGCTCACACACAATTAAGCCACACCACATGTTTTGTAGTTGAAGGAAAAGTTCATTTCTCCCCTTCCTTCTGTCAAATACTGTGGCCACACTGCAAAGGTGATGCTTATTGATGGGAATTTGGATTTTCTCAGCCAGGACTGCACCACAGAAATAAGCAAAATCATCTTAGTAGTAATTTAGTAATAAAGAATGCCATAAATTTTGTTTATTTTGCTGATGTTTCTTCCTGTGTTCTTTATTTTTGTGTACATTTTGTTTTGCTGGAACCCTTGTTTTACCATAGCTTAACTTTAAAAATTTGGTTTAGTTACTGGTCTGATCTGGTATTTGCTGTGCTGTGGCTGGGTGCTAATTTCTTCTCAAAAGATTCACCATTTACTTTTATGGGCTTCTTAAAAGAAGCATATCTCAGTTGGTTGTGGGTGAAGGGACCCTCCTGTGCCCCCACATCCTCTGGAGTGTCCCCAGCTCCCCCTCAGTGACAACTCTGCTGCCAAAGGTAGATGAGGAGGAGCTGCTTGGGTGCTCTGAAGCATTAAGATAAATGGTCTGACACTGGCTTCTTCCTGGCAGAGAAGTTCCCGTGTCAGGAGCCCCGAGATGTTGGGAATGATGGAGATATTGCTAATTATCAAGGGCTGCTGCTGCAGCCGTGGCTCACACGGCGGGGTCGAGTCTCACTCCTGCTCACACGAGTGCAGCTTCTCCTTGATTTATTCAGGATAAATAACACCAGAATCTGGTCTGCTGTGCTCTGCATCTTAATCAGCCCGTGTTAGTGCTAAATGAGATGTGTGTGTGAAAGCAGAGTGCCAGCCCCTCCGAAGGCAGCGACGCCGAGAACGCCTCCGAGTTCATTCTTCAGAGCCACAGCTCAGAAGCCACCTTTAATAAGCAGTTCTGCAGGGCCAGTCACCCAAATCAATTAATGGAATCGTTTAGAGGAGCCCCTGCGAGGCATCTTGCCAAGACATATACGCTTTTTTATCAGCCAAATTGGCAAGAAAGGAACTTTCAGGCTTAAGATTTTCAATTCCAGCCTGTATGAAAAAATAAATTGATTTCCACCAACTGAAGATACTTAGTCTTGAGGATTTAACATTTCTGTATGAGTATCTGTGTACACACACACTCACACCCAGACTCCAAACTGCGCTTGAGACCTGGCCTTCCATTCAGAGAGGCAGCATTCTCTGCAGGATGGGAAGGATTTATGACTTATAATCAACTCTAGATGCTGTTCCTAAATTAATTGATCAGTGTTTATTCCTGTAACTCAATCTGCATTGCCAGGGAGTAAACAGCTCCTCAGAAGTTCTTTCTATGAAGTCAGAATGTGCCAATATGGTTGGTAAAGCTCTCTTTTCTTCTCTCTCTTGGTTTGCTCGGCTGCACGGGGCCAAATTTTGTGGGAGCAGCATCCCTGGCTGTGGGGCTGTCCCAGAGGGGTCTTGGTTCCATTGGGACATTCTGCAGTGTCCCTGGGGAGCTCTGCACAAGCTCCCAGGCTGAGCACAGCTCAGTGCTTTGGGATCCATCTCATGGAGCAGCGTGCAGGGTGTCCACCTTCCTCTTCCTCCTGTTGTCCATTCTCCCAGGATCAGGGGGTGCTCTCCTCCTGCACTCCTGGGGGATCCAGCGTGGGCAGGGTGGGCCCTGACAGAGGGGCTGCAGGGTTCAGGGTTGGTGTGTGCAGCTTGGAGCTGATTTAACAGGGGGAAAGGAAGGAAGGAGTGAGACCCTGCTGTGAGGGGAGCAGCCACACAAAGAGCCAGGCAGCAATTTGGGCCAAGTATAGCTAAAACCAGTAAATATTTAGATAATCCACGGGGCAGGAGAGATCCTCATGGTGTGCTGCCTTTTGTCCCAGCAGGGACAGTGTGCTCAGAGCTGCTGGGTGCTCAGGCTCTGGATCTGCAGGAGTGCTTCAGGAGCCCTGGCTGGTGGGGGCTGTCTCTGCTGGAGCCCCCTGGAGCAGGGCAGAGCAAGGCAGGGCAGCCAGGTGCTGTTCTTCCAGTGGCACCCATCCGAGGGAGGGTGGATCCTCAGGAGCTCTGTGCTGTGACAGGTGTCCCCATGGAGGTGGCACTGACAGAGCAGCTGAACCAAACCCACCACAGGAATTACCCAGCTGAGAACAAAGACCTTGTTGGGGCTGGGACAAATCCTGTCTCTCCCAAGTCCCTGTGTGCAGGAAGGACAAGTGAGCAGAGCTTCCCACGTGGGAGCTCCCCCTGCTCCAGTAATGGAAATGCTTGTCAGAAGGGACATTCCTGAGAATTCATCTCCATACAACAGTGATAATAAAAAGGAAAAGGAAAATACTCTGCATCAATAAACCATGCCAAGGCTGTTAGAAGCCTGAAGTACGGTTCTGATGGATAATGATATGAAGCAATAAATATACTGTGTCCTGATGATTGTTAAAAGAGACAGTTTCCTTTTATTCCCATATAAAACTCGTACTGGAAAGCGCAGTTAAAGCTCACAGTTACAGCCTGCCTTTCCCTGCTGGCTGTTCCAGGGTTTTATGGCTTTGGAAAACACCACCACACATCTGCCTGTGCCATGGACAGAGCTGCACGGAGCAGCTCCATGGCAGGAGGCAAACTGGGCATTCCCAGAGTCACTCAAGATCAAAGCACCCTCTCTGTGGTTCTTTATCAACCTCTGCTGCTGCCTGTCAGAGTCAGGACAGATCCAGGCAGGACAGTGGCTTCTCAGCCACATCAGAGCCAAGAGAAGTTGCATGGGAACAATGCTCCCTCTGTTATTAAAATCCAGCATATTGCCTTCCTTTAATGAGTCTTGCCAATTAAACTGCTGAGGCCTCATCAAGCTGCCATCACCCTGTGCCTGCTCAAATCTTGCAGCACCAGGCACAAAGTGCTTGGTAAAGCCTGAACTGTGCTAGTCACATGTATTTCCTTCTGCATTAGGGTGGTGGAGGGGAAAGGAGCCAGAGGTGTTGGGCAGCCAGTTCCCATTCCTGAGCCAAAGCCTGGGATCTTCCTTTGGGCCTCTTTCCTTGCCAGGGTGATAATTCCTTAATCACCCTTCATTTCTATCCCTTTATTCTCTCTCTTTTCAAACTGGGTTTTTACAGGCCAGCAGTGGTTTTAAAGGTCATTTTACATCTCTCAGTTTCTTTCTATTTTTGAGGCTATGGTGGAATCTGACTGACTTCTGAATTTAATTATGCTTTAAATAGACAAAATTAATGCAATTGGATTGTGATGCACTGGTACTGTTACCTTGCCCTGGATCTCAGAGGTTAATAAAACTGGATTACGTTGATATGAATACCTGAAGGACAAGAAAGATATTTCAGCTGTAAAAAAATACAGTCAGGGAGGGCACTTTGCAACATCTGTCCAGCTGTGTGCTCCATTTGGGCTCTCCTCTGTCCCTGAAGGCTGGCTGGGTCAGCCTGGGGCTCCATGGGGCTGTGCTGCCAGAGGCAAGGAAGAAGCTGGATGGCTCAGATGTGGAAATTGGAAGGTGCTTTAAGGAATGTAAGATTTCTCTGCGGGGCTTTAATACAAGCTTCACTTTGGCACCTGCCACGTTTTAGAGTGTCTGAGCCAATATGGGGTAGAGCCTGCAAAAGTGTAAAATCAGTTTAATTTTGTACCTGTGGCTTCAGTTAACAACAGGGAGGGGGATTTAGCCTTGGTGGGACTCAGGTGAGTGACAATCTCAGTCTGGGCAAGATGTGAGGCCGAAAGAAGCTGCAAGAAGGAGCAGCAGGGGCGGCTTGGGAGGATTTCTGTCTTTGGATCTTTGTCCTGGCTCCCGTTGGCATCTCTGCCTGGAAGGCAGAAAGCCTCTGCCTGGTCTCACCTTGAAGAAGGTCATGGTAGCTCCATCCTTCACTGCTCCATACTCTATTTTTGTCTGCTTTGCCAAGTCATCTGCCGAGTCGATGGGGGACTCCATCCTCTCCACGGTCAGGAAGGCCGCAAGGTTGGCCGTGTAGGACGAGATGATAATTAGGGTGAAGAACCACCATATGCCACCAATGATCCGTGTAGACAGGGCCTTGGGCATCAGCTCCGAGCCTGGGGGGGACAGGGGAAGGAGGGCAGAGGAAATAGAAGGAAAGAACCCATTTTATATATCCATACACGTATTTTATATACATATATATGTGTGAGTGTGTGATCAGGTTTCACTGTCAAAACTGTTACAGCCATGCAATTAAAGCCAACTGGTTTTGAGGCAAATTACCCAGACATCTTGCATGCAAGGATATCAGTAGGGTTTTTGTAGCATTTGCAGAAAAACCCTCTTCCTTGATTACTGACCTTGGGTACAGTGCCCAATTTACAGGAAACATCCAAACTGAAGTAATTAACTGGGCTGCTTTTATGAGATTTAAATAGCAAGCTATTTATGAACTTTTATGAGTGTTTTGTTCTGCCATTTAAAAAGGGCTTTGCTTTTATACAGATTATTTTCAAAAGACTCACTCTGGGGAGTGTGTTCAAATACACAAGGTTTAAAAAAATCAAACACCAAGAGAAAGGAACTATCAGGGTCCAGGGCTTTGAATGCCACTCAGAAATGGGGAAGCAGGAGATGTTACAGCATGAAAGGTGTAGTGGGTCTGGAATGACTTATTGAGCAGACATGAAGGGCTAAATGGGTTGTGCTATTTTTGTAATCACCCAAAACACCTTTTAAAGCCAGGCAAGAGCTTTGGGCTTGAAACAGCTGTGCTCAGAGGATTCATCAGCCTGGAAAGTGCAACAAAGATTGGGCTTTGCAAAGCAATTTTAGACAGTGTGGCATTAAAGCAGAGCATGGGGTGTAGTTTTCCTCCCTTCAGAGTGCAGCAAGGAGACACCAGGAAGAGGAGGAGTCCTGGATGTTGAGGGTGCTTTGGTTCTCAAGATCCTGCTTCTTCCCTCTTCCATCTCCGGCCCTTTGATGCATTGGATGCTGTGACATCAGTCTGGCTTTGAAATATTTTTCTTCTCAGATGCAGAATTGAGTTAAAAAGAATATAGCTCTTTTCATTTATCAGCATCTGATAAGAGGGATGATTCATCCTGCTAAACCGTCTTGCTGGGAACTGTCACTGTCCATGAGGGCAGCTGAGATCCAGGAGGAATCTCTATTACAGGCAGCAGTGGAGCTCAGAGCAGCTCTGTGCCTGCCACTGAGCCGAGGCTGTGCTTCTTTTGCTCTCTGGATATAACCACTGATACATGGTAAATTAAAGTGTGACAAATGTTTGACATTTTCCACTTCTTTCTATTCCTGGGTTTTCTGCAATTAGATCGCAGCTGAATTTCGTTCCTTATTCAGAGCTGCTCCCAAGCTCCCCCCCTGCTGCCTTCCGAACAGATTTATTCTGTTCATTGCATCTCTCTATTCCATTCACTCACAGGGGTGTGATCCCATCCCTGTCCCATTTCTGGGGTCCCTGTGACCCTGGTGGCTCACAGCAGTGCCACTGGCAGCTCTCCTGAGGGGCTGCTGGGCACAGGCTCCAGGGCAGCTCCTCCAGGCTGGGGAATCTCACACTGCTCAGAATGACCAGGGGAGGGGAAAAATGGGGATGGAGCAGAGGGCAAGGCACCCTGTCTGCTGGAAAAGTTGATTTAGAACAGAGAGAGAGCCAGGTCAGAGATCCTGAAACTGAACAAATGGTTTGAATGAACAGAAATAGGAATTTGCAGAGTCCGTGGGACGTGGGGCAATGAAGCAGCTGAGGGAGATGAAGGCAGTGCTCCTCCTTGGAGCTGCAGGGCCAGGAGGTGCTGGGAGGTTGCAACCAAAAGAAATTTTTAATTGAAAAAGCCCCAAGAGCAGGTGGGTGCCCTTACCTTGCTGCATCAGCGCTCCCATCCCGAACCAGAAGCTGTTCAGGAGGGTGAAGTTGTTCTCCACGATGTCCGAGCCTGGGTTGCAGGGGTGGGCATCATACCACTCGTATGGACTGAACCTGCAGCACACAGGGAAACAGAGTCCTGATGATGCCTTGAGGGGCTCCTAGGACACAGGCTAGTCAGTTTTAAGACAATAAAGTGGCTTTTTATTAAAGGTCTTCAATAGATACACCCTGGGCAGCCAAAGCCTTCCAGAGGCTGCACCCAAAATGGACAATGGTCATGAGTTTTTCATTCAGTTGTGACTTTGGTCCATTTGCCTATCAGGGGTTAATCCTTAATTACAGCTTCAGGTAATAAAGTGACATACCCCCAGTTTGCTCCCCACTTTTGCTTATACTTGTCAGGGCCTGAGGCTGTAGGGTGTCCTTGGTTCTCAGGCCTCAAGTGATTGTTTTGTCTGACCAAAATGTGAAGACATAACACTTTATATAGAGTTATGCACGAATGCAGCACAGGATTTGAAAAATAGAAAGGCTAAAATCCTAAGGGCATCAGTTAGTTGAGATGTGGCAGGACAAGACTCTAAAGGAACTGGAAAAAAGGAGTCTCAATGCCTCTGGTGCTGCTGTGCAGGGGCTGCTGACCATCTGGTGCACACCTTTATAGAGAAAAAACCAAATTCAGCCCAAGTCACCCACACAGCCGTAAGTCTGTGTCCTGCATTCTGGAGAGCAGAGACCTGGGAAGCCAAATCCTCCTGAGGTGTCTCAGATGGCTTCCCCAGAGCCTTTGGTCACTTGGGATCATCTTTGCAATATCGTGTCCTATAACAGCACCTGGAGCATGTGATGGTGGGATGGGTTGGGATGGGATGGGATAGGATGGGGTCCAGAAACGTAACCTCTTGTATGTAACCGTTTGAAAATGTGAGAAAAAAAAAGGCATTTTTGGTTGACTAAGGAGAAGCCTTGGTCATTCTGCAGTAGTAGCAGGGACAAACTGGTATTTTAGGATATTCTAATGCACATGGGAATCCGGGTGGGATTTATGTCACTGAGAAGTAGAACCTTCCACCATCCTGACAAGCAGGAGTTTGGCCCCTTCAAGGCATTGCCAGAACACTGGAATGTGGTGGCAGTTTGCCACTTATTCCCTGTGTATTTCCAAGGATACCCCTGCAATTCTTGAGCAAGACTGAGGGAATTTCCTAGGAATATCTCTGCAAATTCTGCCCAAGATTGGCAGGCAAGCACTGCTGGGAATGAGCTCGTTTAGCCAGGATCTGGGGAGGATGCTAAACAGGAGAGATGTTAATATTTTTAGAGCTGTTTATTTACATTTTCTGAGAGTCCCAAATTTTGCAGAGATTAAATTAAAAACATAATTGGTATAATTGCTTTTGAACCAGGCATTAATTATCATCTCCGCTTCCTTCTGGAATCCCTGGAGATTCACAACAGCCCCTTCTCAAAGCCCAGCCCACAGCCTCTATCAGGAGATGTTTCCCTCTGTAATTCTCCACCAGATGCGCCACCACCCAAGGAGAGGGCTCGTGGCTCCATTCCAGGGTGGCCTCGCTCAGACAGTTGGATTTGTTTGGAGAAGGGCCCCAGATCCCTGCCAGGAGCCTCCTGGCACTGAATCCTGCCCTGGGCACGTGTCAGTGCAGAGCTGTGGTGCTGGCAGCGCCAAGCATGGGAGGGGACTGGGGGAAAACCATCCCTGAGGATGGACATGGCACAGCCCACGCTCCTGTGGCTTTGGAAAAGATTACCTGGGCACAGCTGTGCCACTTTTTGCTTCTGTTTTCCACTCAAGGTACAGTGCAATGAGCTCTCCTTTCCTCCCTGGTTTATCTCCCCTTCCTGCAGCACCCTGGGCTGGGTTTGGGGTGTGGAGCCTTGCTCAGGCTGCACCTGGCATTGCTGCTTGTTCATCCAGGTGATGTTGGGCTCTCCTTGCTGCTCACCCTCCTCTGCTCTCTGAATCAGAGGAAATCAGCAAGGAAACAAGAACCTGGCTGAACTCAGACCTGGCTTTACATGCTGCTTATTCCTTAGAACTTGCTATAGATTCACACCAGAGGCAGATAAAGGATGGTGTCTTGGTCCTTTCTGTCAGATAAAGCCAGAGTTCAGGAATTAGATTAAAACTTTCTTGGGCTGCCAATGAAAGACTATGAAAAAGAAAGGGAGTGGGTAAGATCAATGAGCCTGGCAAGATGACACGCTGGAGAACTTCAAGGTCTGAGTGAAAACCTACTGGTGCAGCTCAAATGACAGAGAAATATTCAGAAATCTGCAAAGCAGCAACAGCCTCCAGTGCTTGAGCAGAGAAACCATTAGTGGAAGCAAGAGGTAATGAAGGAAGGAGGGAGAGGAGCCCATTGACCCCAGAGCTCAAATCAATGGGGAACTCAGGACCCTCCGTGGCTGTCTTCCCTCATCCTCACATGCTCTGTGGGTCTGAGAAATATTTCATCAAAAACGAGCATCATTCTCCTGTCTCTTTCAGCTTTTTGGGTGGGAAATTGAAGCACTTGGAAGAAATTTAAAAGATCTAACACAAAATACTTTTGAGTCTAAATTGCGTCTCCAGAGAAATTTTAAATGGATGACCCAGACTGTTGCATTTGCAGGGAATGTCCTGACAAAGGCAGGAATGATGCATCTGACTCCATGTTCTCAGAAGGCTAATTTATTATTTTATGATACTATATTATACTAAAAAATACTATACTAAAGAATACTATACTAAAGAATACAGAAAGGATACTTACAGAATGTTAAAAAGATAATAATGAAAACTTGTGACTCTTTCCAGAATCCTGACACAGCCTGGCACCAATTGGCCAAAGAGCCAAAACAACTCACAGCAGAATCCAAGGAAACAATCACTTGTGGGTAAACAACCTACAAACACATTCCACATGAGCACAACACAGGAGAATCAAATGAGATAAGAATTGTTTTCCTTTTTGTGTGAGGCCTCTCAGCTTCCCAGGAGAAAAGCCCTGGGTGAAGGGATTTGTTCAGAGAATGTGAATGCCACACCAGACCTCGCTGCAATTAGGATGAAGATTAAGCCAACCCACCCACCCTGCCACACAGCCAGAGGTGTTGGGTGTAATTTGGAGGCTGTGTGAGCCCGAGGACAGGTGCCAGCCTGGCACCAGAGCCTCCAGACACAGCATCTGACAGAGCCATGGGGACAGCCAGTGCTGCTGGCTCCCTGGGGATGGGAGTTGGGAGCAGGGGCTCCATCAATAACGAAGAAAGGCTGATTAAAATGACAGATGAACCAAATCCATCCTTTGCCTGCCTCTAAATAGTTCCTGAGTCTGTTTTAAGTGGCATTGACCTATGGTTATGGCATGAGCAGAGGGCTCTGGTGCCTAGTTCAGAAGAGTCATGTCTCTGAATTAAGGCTTTTCTATTTTGATTGTGGTTTTCCGCTGAGAATTGGATTTCAGAGGCCTTGCTGGGGTCAAAAGCAGATATTGTTTCCATGACTTCTGAATGCAATAAATATTTTCCCTGTGAAATCTCTTGCCTTCCATCTCTATGTGTTAAAAGACCATTCCTGCAGAATTTTAATTACCCCGAATACTCGGTGTTATTTGAAAGAATAGGATGACAGAAGAAATGTCAGGAGCAAAATGTGAAGAATAAACTGTAATTGCAATATTTTATGTGTTGAATTTAGTCCAAGAAGTAGCCTGATAGGGAAAAATTGTTCTGCAACATCGTAATTGCTGTGATGGAGCGAGATGCTGAGGTTCATTTCAGAATAAAACCTGAGACAAAGCCACAGTTCTTCAGGTTTTCATCCCTCAACATCAGCCAAAAGCCAGGCAACACTGCCATGCTAGGACAGACATCCCTGTTTGTGCAAAGTGGTGCCTGGGGGACTTCACATCAGGGCCTGCCCCAGCATTTCCTTCAGCCCTTCTGCAACATTTCACATGCAGATACAATTTGCACATTTAACATGCTTTGAAAGTGGGATCTGGACAATTTGGGTTGGATTTGGTCATTATGAGCTGGGAAAAATAAGCTCCAAAATGTAAAATTGTGTTTGGATTGTCACTGCAGGGCACAGGAGCAGGCTGGTGCCTGGTGCCATCGAAGCCAGGGGTGCTGTGGGAGCAGAGCCCATCCAGCTGTGCCCTGCCTGGATGACAGGGACAGCCAAGGGCTCTCTGTCAGCCCCCACAGGATTTTCCTTCTCATGGTTACCTTGGGTCCACATCCCCAGAGGAGAGATTTGTGCTGCTGAGAGCACCTGGCTGTCCCTGACAGGGCTGGGGGGGCAAAAACAAGGCAGGAAGGGAATTGCAGCTGCAGCCTGGATCAGGGAGGGCCTTCCACATCCTCTGAGAGGAAAGCTGTGAGTGCTGACAGTCTGGTCAGGGAGAAAGTCAGATAAACTTTCCCAGGCATTGTTCTTGGGGAGCTTTGAGAAAGCTCAGAGAAAGAATTAAAATAATATTTAATCTTTGCAGCTGGTGTTTTGAACTTGTTCACTTGTAAGGTGTGTACAAGAAGGGTGTTCCTAATTAGCCAGTGAGGTGAGGGGTGTTGATTGAGGACCAATCAGGTCCAGCTTTCTTGGAATAGTTTATAAAAGGATGTGACATCTAATAAACTTCACTATTGCCTTCTGAGAAGATTTTGGAGTCTGTGTCACTTCATTCAGCTGTCCCTAATCCAATAGTGACAGAAAACAAATGTCCAGCTATGTCCCCGTGCAGAGGAGGGACCAGAGGATGTACCTGCCTTGCCACGCATGTTTAACATGCTTTAAAAGTGGGGTCTGGACAATCTGGGCTGGATCTGGCCATTATGAGCAGGAAAAAACAAGCTCCTAATGTGAGCACTGCAGGTGCTCACAGCACTCGTGCCCAGCTCACTCTGCTGCTCTGTGTAATTAGGATATGACAGAGTGAACACAGGAAATCTGCTCTAAATGCCCCTCTGGACTGAGGGATGCTGAAAATTGTAGATTTGTTGTACCATCAGGGTTAATGGAGGCTGCTTGCTCCAGTTCTGTAGCTGATCTTTCCTTTGACTCTCTAAGGAGATGAGGGAGGAATGTTTCTGATGGATGCTCCCAGGAAGGTGTAGCACAGCAGGCCTTGGGGAAGAGGGTCTGCATGGACCCCCAGACCAAAACAGGGAGGGTTCTGAAATCCCCACCAGTATAAATTCAGCTGGAAATAAGGAGAAATGAGCATCAAAGTGTAGAGTGGGCAGAGGGATCTTTCCTGGACGAGGTGTTTATGCAAAATATTCCAGTGAGGGCTGTGTGTGGTCATGGAGGGCGCCTGCCTGCAGGAGGGGGAAAGTGCTTTGTTTTGATTTGAATAGGTGGGATCATGGATTGAGAGCAACCCTGGACTGTGGCTCATCAAAGGCCCTGTGGAATTAACAAGACATGCAAATGTATGCAAATGCTGCCTTTAAACATAGAGGATTTAAACATGCTAATTAGATGCATATTAATTTTGTAAACAGACACATTGTCTGATCCGTAGCAACGGCTTCTCCATTCTTTTGATATAGGGAAGGGTTTGTGTGAGCTTTACAGAGATAGAAGGGGGAATGGTGGGGGAGATGGGAGCTCACTGTGAGCAGTGAGCATGAATGGACAGTGATACAGAGATACTTCTCTTCATACACCGGGAGGTGCTGACAAGATGGAAAGGCTGCAAAACTTCTGAAATAATAAAATTATTTCATGCTGTGAGTGTGTGAAAGTGAGCAGCCAGCCCATGGTGATGGACCAGATCTGAGGGGTGACAAAGGTTTGGTGCTGCAGCTCCCTGCCACCCTGTTCTTCTAAGTTCTTCTGGGCCTTCTGATGTTTACATTCTTGAATGAACTTTCTCACACATTTTATGTAAATAATTAATTGTTTTACATTCCTTTCTGGAGCAGGAGAAACTTGATGGACTGTTGGTTTGTCCAGTGTCATTGGAGAGGTGGCACTGTCACCCTCCAAACCACTGTCACTTTTAAAAATCTATAAATGTTGGGAGTCAGAAATTAAACTCCCCTTCTTTTACCTTGGAGGTTCCAGTGTGCATGTAATTTTATTTTATATCCTAGAGTGACAGCTGCCAGCAGGGCCCCCTTACCTGGCTATGACAAAGAGCACACAGCTGACCCCCAGGTAGGCAAGGAGGATGTACATCCAGATGTCAGGAGAGAGAGGGTTGAGGAAGGAGAACACGCTGGGGTTGGTCCCGTTGGGCTTCCTGTAGAGGATGCTGACCCCCAGGGTCATGAAGGGCTTGGAGAAGTCGATGGCTTTCTCCCGGACGTGGGTGATGGTCAGAGGAGCCACGGCCAGGTCAGCTTTCTGCAAACAGCACAGAGGGAGGGACACAGGCAGGGAGAAAAGAGTTACAGAGGTGTTTCTATCCCCTTGGAGACACCACAGCGCTCACACAGCAGAAACAGGACAAAATCCCCCAAAGTGCAGCCCTGGGGTTCCCCCCTGCTGTGGCACATGTGGTACATGTTTGCTGAGAAATACAGATGTGGGGGCACAGTGTTTGCTGTGAAGTACAGATGTTGGAGTACAGTTTTTGCTGTAAAATACAGATTTTGGGGGTACAGTGTTTACTGTGAAGTACAGATGTTGGGGTGCAGTGTTTGCTGTGAAATACAGGTGTTGGAGTATAGTGTTTGCTGTAAAGTACAGATGTTTCTGGTACAGTGCTGTGAAATACAGATGTTAGAGTACCGTGTTTGCTGTAAAATACAGCACAGCCAAATGGAGATTACAGCCTCTGCAGCTTCTGCCCCGATGTGATAAGCTCCTCTGAAACGGTCCGAAAAATCAGATTTTACTGAGTTCTAAAGTGTCAGTGGCCCTTTTCTTGCTTGCTCCTCTCCACAAGACTCTAAAACAGTGAGTAGACTGTGTGCAGAGCCTGCTGCTGGCAGCAGTGGTTTGTTTTTGTTGTTGTTGTTGTCCTTGCTTTCATTTGTTGTTGTCCTGCTTTCACGCTGATGCAAGAGGAGAGGAGGGTGAGGATGGAGCTGCAGGGAGCCATACTGTGGCAGTGTGAGGTAAGAGGTTCTATTTCTTTTCCCTCAGTCATTTCATGAGCTTGAGGGGCTCAGTCTCAGGCAGGAGTGCTCGGTGCCTGGGGGCGGAGGGAGGGAGGTGTGGAGGCGAGACCCTCTGAGGAAACACTCTTTAATGATGGACTCCTCAGCCCATCCTGCTGGAGTGCTCTGAGCTCCCTGAAGAATTTCAGCTGAGCATATTCTTTATCCTGACAGCTTGTATGAATTGTGTTTGTTTCTATTATTTCTGTTATTTACTAATTTGTGTTAATTCAATGAGCAACCACATTCACCCTCTTTCTGTTGGGTAAGAGATGCATTCATTCCTCTCACTAAACATTCATCCAGGTTCTTAAAAGCCAGAAGTAAACACGTCCAAGGTTTCCTCAATATCACCCTCCTTGCCTGAGCTTTGCAAATCATTCTTTGAGATTGTGAACTTCCGAGGAAACACAGACACATAAATTACAGCTCTGAAGTTGAGCAGAACCTCCCCCCATGCCAGGAGCCCCGGCGAGATTTATTTAACATCTGGTTCTGAAAATTAAAATTCTAAATTACCCATGAGTGATAATTACCTAGAGATACAGTAGATTTGTCATTATTCATGGACTTTAAATCAATACTGGCTGGAACATACTTTGCTTCAGCAGGAACTGGGGGTTCACTGTAGGAACCAGAGCAGATCTCTGGCCTGTGCTGGGGGTAAAGGTTGTGGTAAAGGTTTCATTTGACCTTGCCAATCTGTGATCAAGTCAGTGCAATATTTATAAATAGGGGAATCTGGGTGTTTTACTGTAGGAAGAGTGTCTACATGAGCTTTTGTCCATTTACACAAGTGTGTGTGTGTTTGTGTGTAAGGAACCCCCTCCAACAAGTGCAGCCTTAGAGCTCCTGAACAGAAGCATTCAGGAATGATGTAACAAGGGTAAAAATGAAAGAGAGCCATGTTTTTTCTTCTAACATGGCTCTCCAGCTGCGCCCTGCTTTCCTTTGGTTTCCTTTCCTTCTCATTTTCCAGATGGAAATACATTTTTACATCAGCCTGGTACAGGAAGAGCTTCATTTTGGCATTTGTCAAAACCTCTGGAAAATGGGGACAATATTTTTGCCAGTGAGCCCCTTGTGCCAGCTGTGGTTGTGGTGACAGGGACAGAAGCTGAAGGGGGTTGGAGGTGGCATTGGTGGCTGCTCAGCCTGAGCTGGAGATGTTGTTCTGCATCCTGGGGACTGTCCTGGCAGGTTTGGAGCTTGGCTGCTCCCACCACCTTCCAGCGCACCTGGAAATTTTGGCTTCGTGCTCCGCACAGTCACAAGGCAGAAATGGCAAAAGAAATGCAGCATTTTCCCTCCTCCATCACTTCTGTGTGGGTGTCCTGACTCACCAGGGAAAGGCAAAGAAGATGTTGAAGGATTTGGCTATGGGTTTTTCTGAAGGAGGGAGCAAATGTTCTGTGGTCAGAGCTTGCTGGCAATGGCCAGGCTGAGGGAGCCTCAGCCAAATTTGTCAGAACAATAACAGTGAGCTAAAGAACAGCCTGGAGTTTGTGCTTTGCCACAGAAAATGAAGAGAGAGAACTCTGCATGGATGCCCAGGGATCCAACTGCTTTTAGAGCTGAAATAAAATTTTACTGTGTGGCTCCAGCAGCTCCTGTGATGTGCTCCCAGCCCTGTGTCCTTGCAGGGAATGTCACATTCAGGCAGGACAGAGCAGGGATTCTGGAGCCTGGCTGGGGTGTGTCCTGAGCAATTACAGCCAGCACAGGGCTGCACTTCCATATCCTTTTTATCAATGCAGATTTTTCTGAAGGTGGCCTCTAATTAAGGCTTTGCTGACAGAGAGGATCTAAATCAAACCCACCAAGGGTGAAGCTTTGATTTGTTGTGCTCTGACATTCCAAACTGGGCAGTCAATTACCAGACTCTGGCTGCTTCCTTTAGTCAGCCCTGGCTCTTGTGCTGTTGCAGTCAGGTGGATTTTATTAAAGATGAGGAATTAGAGCAAGTGCCAGTGGCTTAAAGACCCTTGTCCAGCAAAACCACTTAAGCCTGCACCTCTCTTTTACTGGAGCTCACACATCTTCCAAGTCCTGTCCCTGTTCTTAAGTGTTCTGCTGAATTGAGGCCAAAAAGATGAATTCTGCCAAGGCAGCTACACATCAAATGCAGACACTTCTCCAACACACCTCCAAGGGTTTGGATCTCCTCATTCACCCAGTTCCAGCGTTTCACTTGGCTGGAGCAGCTGTGAGTTCACGGGGTGTTCAGCACAGGGATGGTGGTGTTTGCTGCAGAGATACTTGGTTTTCGTCAGAAAATGCCAAGTCTTATCTCCAAGTTCTCAGTTATCGGGGAGATGTGGCCTGTGGGTCAGGACAGCTCTTGTGCAGCTGTGGGAATCCTGCAGTGCCTGACCTCAGCCAGAGCCAAGCCGTGGGCAGTGGCTGGTCATGGAGGAGCCCACCAACAGCATAAGCACCAAGATAAATATTTATTCTGGAAAAGAAGCTGCCTCTGTGCTTATTTTGCCAATCTGCGTTAGGTATTTACATAAACTAATCATGTGTGTGTTGCCTGAGAGACAGAAATAGTGTGTGTGTGTGTTTTACTGATTTAATTGTTACCCAGGTCTGGCACTGTCATCCCTCGGTGTCTCTTGCCACTGCCAGCACTGGGGCTCCTTCCTTGGGCCCTGTCTCTGCTTCCTACTCTCCTATCTTGGCTGCTGTGCCCTGCTCCTGCTCCCTGTCCCTGGGGTGTGCTGGGCTCACACCTGAGCTCCCTGCACCTTTCCCTGCAGAGCAGCCCTGGCTGTCCTGGGGATGAAGATGGGGCAGCCGGGCTCTGCTGCAGCTCAGAGAGGAGGGGCTGCTGCTGGGGCAGGGGTGGGGGTCTCTGTGGGAGCCCCGTGCCTGCCCAGGGGCAGGGAAGCACTCACAGGAGCAGGGATGCTCAAGGAGAGCAGGGTCAGTGCTGAGTGTCTGAGTCCAGCTCTTAACGGCTGCTCTTGTAATCTCACTATTTGGACATCGTTTTTTTCAATGGGTTTATTCAATATTGGGGTGAATTAAGAACAGAAAAACCCTTTTAGTTTTTTTTTTTTGGCAGGAAAAACCCAGCTGTGAGCTGAAGGGGAGGAATGAGGGCCATGAGGTCCTGTTGGGGCTTTTATAATCTTCCCTTTAAGGATGATCTCTAGAGTTGGAACTGCCATTAATTGTACCTGAGGGATGTGGATGCTGGAGGATTCAGGTGAGAATGGCCCTGCTGTGAGAAACAAGCCCTATCCTCTGGATTCCTGGCAGGCGAAGCAGCCAGCAAGGGGCAGGAACACCTGCTGAGCACACAGAGAACCTGAACTCCCAACACACAGATCCTTCACCTGGATCCCTGAGTATGACCCAGTCATGAATCCACCCAACAGTGACCTGAGCACAAAAGGAAAAGCTCTTCTGGTTTATTTCCATCCTGTCCCTGAGTATGACCCAGTCATGAATCCACCCAACAGTGATGTGAGCACAAAAGGAAACGCTCTTCTGGTTTATTTCCATCCTGTCCCCAGCACTGAGGTCCTGCAGTGTCTGAACACAAGGTGGAAGACACTCCATCCAATTAAGTTGTTTGTTCCCTGTCCCTGGCCCAGTGACATCCAAATGAAGCCCCAGCTGATGACACATGAGATGAAACATCCACCAGTGCAGAGCATTAATGGGGAGCTGGCAGTGTGGTGCAATGTGCACTTCTGCCAGAATTTACTGTCAGAAAATGCCCACTTATTGTGGAATTGTTAAATCAGCTGTCAGGAGTCATCCTAAGGATGGATATTACAAGTCCCCCACAGTTCCCATTGGCAGGGATTTCCATCAGAAACCCCAGTATTTGCCACATCTCTTTTATTCCCACCCGAAGTTTCAGATTGAATGGCAATGTGATGTGCACTGTGGCAGCAGAAGACAAGTTTTATTTGTGAACAAGTTTGTGCAAAATGTCCAGAACAACTCATTCTGCTGGTTTTATGGGATTCTGCCCACAAACAACAGGGAAGATTTGCAGGCATTGCTTTGCCAGACAACTGGAATTTATAAATCAGAACGGATGGGCCACGGTGTGCAATGGAGCTTTGCTTGTATCAGTAATAATTTCTATGAATAAACATCAATAGCAGTTCACTGTTGCTGAAAGGAGGAGGTCTGGCACTTGTCAGACTCCCTGTTTGTTATGAATAAAGGGCTCAGGAGCTTCTCTGCATCGCCTGGGCTCCCCAGACCTCCCTGAATACCTGAGTTCAGCTCTCGTGGCCCTTCTGATCAAGGCTCCTCTGTGGGAATGGCCAGAGGGGTGACAATAAGCAGTAGGCTGAGGTTACTTCTCCAGGGAATGAACTGAACTCCTCAAATCAGGGACTTTTTGTGCTGAGGATGAGCAGCAGATGAAAGGCAGCGGGGCAGGGCTGCTGCATGCAGCTGCGTGAGGCTGTTGTCTCTGGATCTGCTACTGGGGACCTGTCAGAGACAGGGTCGTGCTGGGGCTGCTCTGATTGCTGTTGCTTTTCCTGTTTATGCTTAAGGCCAGACTAGAAACACAGGGATTTTACAAAGGATCATAGCCCGAGGCATCCCTGCCTGTGGCCAGGCATGTCTGGATCTGAGAGAGCAGAGGGGGAGGATTCGTGACTGCGTCAAGCTCAGAGTGCTCACTGTGTAAACACCTGTCCTAGCACATGATTTACCTTTAGGGGCCAACTTTTGGGGATTTACCCCTTTGGTAACAGCACCTTTGTCCCCCAGACACTGCTGTCATGCACCTACCCTCACCCAGCTCCTCTGAGGGCATCTCCACCCAGTGCAGGCCACCCCAGGGGACAGGTGCCCCTTGCTTTGCCCATCTCCTCCTCTCCAAATTTCAGCCTCAGCTGAGTTGGAATATTTTTGGTACACAGAATTTGCTGCTTTCTGAGCTCCCAGACACTCTGAGCAACAATAATGACCATTTTAGCCTCTCACCTCACCCCAGGAGCACTCCCTGCTCTGCACAGGTCGTTCAGGGAGCCCACACCAGCTCAGCCCACCTGTGTCACAGCAGCCCAGGGGGCTAAGGGGGTCTTCAGCAACGCAATGGCTTTCTGCACTGAATTAATCCTGACCTGGATTATTAACCTGAATTCTGCACTGAATTAATCCTGACCTGGGTATTTGGACCTCAACAAAATCCTGCCTGCTTTATGCTCCCATCTGAATGATTCCAATTTGTTTATGAGAAGGAGACACTGAACACAGAGCAAAGCCAGCTCAGATATCAGACTCTGGATGTGGGCAGCCCTGTTTTCATCAGTGCAGCTTGATTTGAAGTCTCTAACACTTTTCCTCCTGGGTGTGAAATAAGCTTGATCTGGCCTGTTGCAGTGTCCATGGGTTGTGCCTTTCCCCACACCACGGGAAGACGCTGCTGAGGAAGGGCCCATCAGGCTGCAATTTCACTTTTGAAGGCTTTACATAAACACTGCTATAAAAAGCAATGACATGCAGATAAAGGAGCTAATGGCTTCATGTGGGGCAGTGTCCCTGCAGGCACATGCTCAGCCATGCAGGGCAGGGCACAGAACTGCATCTCAGAGTTAAGAACACAACTTGCAAGAAGAGGAGGTTTGGCCTTTTCCTGCTGTTTGGCTCTTTCCTGCTGCTGTGTGTTGATTTGCTTTTCAGATAGTTACCCAAGAAATACCACAATGCAGGTTTGACCATGAATTTTGTGTTATTTAATGAGATTGCTCCTCAAACCTCCTTCTTGTCTATCTCAGGTAGCTTCAGGAATGGCTGAAGCCTCTTGAGAGCCTTGTGGTGTTTTGCAGGACCCTGGAAGTGACATGATTTGGGCTAAATGATCACAGTTAGTTGACCACAGCTTTGGGAATGGCTGAAGCCTCCTGAGAGCCCTGTGGTGTCATGCAGGACACTGGAAGTGGCATGGTTTGGGCTGAACGACTGACTGGCTTCTATTCCCTTGGGAGGGATTTGCTCCTTGTGAGCCCTGCAGTGCAGTGAGAGCTCCAGAGCCCATTCCCAGCAGTGAGAGAGCTCCAGAACCTGCTCCCAGCACTGAGTGAGCCCCAGAGCCCAATCCCAACGTGGAGAGAGCTCCAGAGCCCAATCCCAGCAGTGAGAGAGCCCCAGAAGCCATTCCCAGCAGTGGGAGAGCTCCAGAGAACATTCCCAGCACTGGGTGATTTCCAGAGCTGCTCCCAGCAGTGATAGAGCTCCAAAGCCCAATCCCAGCAGTGAGAGAGCCCCAGAAGCCATTCCCAGCAGTGGGAGAGCTCCAGAGAACATTCCCAGCACTGGGTGATTTCCAGAGCTGCTCCCAGCAGTGATAGAGCTCCAAAGCCCATTCCCAGCAGTGGGAGAGCTCCAGAGCCCATTCCCAGCACTGGGTGATCTCCAGAGCTGCTCCCAGCAGTGATAGAGCTCCAAAGCCCATTCCCAGCAGTGGGAGAGCTCCAGAGGCTGCTCCTGGGACTGAAAGAGCTCCAGAGCCCAATCCCAGCACTGGGTGATCTCCAGAGGCTGGTCCCAGCACTGAAAGAGCTCCAGAGCCCAATCCCAGCACTGGGTGATCTCCAAAGGCTGCTCCCAGCAGTGATAGAGCTCCAGAGCCCAATCCCAGCACTGGGTGATCTCCAGAGGCTGGTCCCAGCACTGAAAGAGCTCCAGAGCCCAATCCCAGCACTGTGTGATCTCCAAAGCCCATTCCCAGCAGTGATAGAGCTCCAAAGCCCATTCCCAGCAGTGGGAGAGCTCCAGAGCCCATTCCCAGCACTGGGTGATCTCCAGAGCTGCTCCCAGCAGTGATAGAGCTCCAAAGCCCATTCCCAGCACTGAAAGAGCTCCAGAGCCCATTCCCAGCAGTGAGTGAGCCCCAGAGCCTGCTCCCAGCAGCGGGGCCAGGCAGAGGAGCTGTGTCCCGGGGGGCTCTGCCAAGGGGCACAGCTGCCACTCGGTGTCAGCTCTGATCTGTGTCACACACATCACTCGGAGCAGCAGAGCTTCCTCTGGGACGCTGCCACTCGTCTAGCTCGGCAGGGCTGTTGTGTAAGAGGCTCTAAAATCTGTGTTTTGAGCTGCATGGAGTTTTCCAGAAGGAAAAGCACCAAGGCAGGTTTGCAGAGCTCCCCCATGAGATGGAGTCCTGCTCCCAGGGCTGTCCTTGCCTGCCCTTGCTGCTCTCCTGCTCCCTGGGCCAGGCCAGCTGAGGCCTGCCATGCTTGTCACAAACTGATTGTCACTTTGTCCCTATAAAAGGACATAATAATTATCATCTGCATTTTACAGATGGAGGAAGCAGTGCACAGAAGCAACTTGTCCAATGTCATTTAGGGCAGAGAGAGCAGATCTGGAAGGCCAGCCCAGCTCCTGAGCCACTCCTCACTCTCCACACACCACAGTGACTCACCCAGCAAACTCATTCTTCTCCCATGAATGGTAAGAGCATCACAGCTCTACGGGGGATTATTTTTGTGTCTTTGCTGCTTAGGCTGTGCATTCAGAATGCAGCCAGGACCTGGAGGTGGTCAAGGGCTGCCCCACTTGAGCAGGACACTCAGGAGGAGAGCGCTCTGCACTGCCTGCACTGCTGCCTGTGCTGCAGAGAGCAGCCATTCTTTTTGTCCTTAGCTTTTCTTCCAGAGGCCTTCTCTGGGAATCAGATATTCATAAAAACACCAGCTTTCCTCACCTCTGTAACTGGGCCCTTGGGATCACAGGATGTGCTGGAGGCAAGATATCTAATTAGGAAACTGAGCAAGCTCTGGCCGCGAGTGGCGGTTTCAGACGTGGCGACGCTTTGGCGGCTGCGGGAGCAAAGCTGCTGCTACAACAGGTTCCCTGGGGCTTAAAGAGCTTCTGGAAGTGGCCATGGAAGGAGAAGCACAGCTGCTGTGTGGCAGAGGGAGCTCCGTGTCCCAAGAGATTTTAGCAAATAAGTTGCTTTTATAGGAAATAAAAAATGAAAGTGTCCAGGGCACACCTGCTCCCGCAGTCTGGATGTCTCCTGTGGGCTGGGCTGTGTCTGGGGCATGCCTGGGCTCCCCAGGCTGCACTGGTGCTGTGCCCTGGTTTATGTTTGTCCCCGGGGGTGACAGCAGCTCATGCTGCCAGCCCAGCACAGCCCGTGTGCCCCAGGCCCAGGGGAAGCCTCTGCCCTCTGCACACACCCAGCCTGTGTCCCACTGTGGGACAGGCTGTGCCTGGACCCACAGAGCCCATTCTGTGCTGGGAGAACGGCCCTTTTCAGGAATTCCAAATTAATATTTGGAAGAGCCAGACACAGGGATATTCTGGCAACCAGTGTGACAAGGAGCCAGGCGGGGTCAGGAGCTCCAGCGTTCCAGGCCAGCGAGAAATGGCACCTGTCCCACCCCAGAGAGCCAGCCCAGGGACAGCTCCAGGGACAGCCAGCCCTCGGCAGCCACCCACGGGCTCACTCACGTGGTCGATGAGCTCCTTGATCATGCCATTCCACTGGCCCTTCTCATCCTGTGCCCCGTATTTGCCGTCCTCCACCAGGCGGATCTCGTAGGAGAAGCCCAGGATGATGGCCAGCTCCTTCAGCAGGTCGATGCAGTAGCCCTCGAAGCGGTCGTTCCCGAACAGGGCGGTGTCGGACTTACGGAACATGACAAAGGGCTCCTCCTGCACAGGGAAAGCAAAAAGTCCCAGTTCAGGGTCAGCTGGAGGCAAGGCCACCTCTGCAGGTCAGCCCGAGCCGCCAGGCACGGCTCTCCAGGCAGGGCTGGCACTGTGACATGTTGGGAATAAATTAACTTTGCACAGCGCATCAGCTAATTAGCAACCTTGTTTACCCCACAAAATTTAATTTTGTCTCTTCTGAGCAGCCAACTGTTTTCCATTTGGTAGGATTTCAGGGAGAAAAATAACCATTTCATGCTCTGAAAATGAAGTGTTAGAAACAGCAAAAGAGGGGGAGGACAAACTCACCCCCGCGCCCTGCACACGGTACCTGCCATTCACCACAGGTTGATGGGTGAAATTCAGGGTGAGGGAGCTGTGCATGGCTGGGGCCACCCCAAAACCTCCCCACTCAGCTCTCTGGCACTCCTCTGTGCTGGCACTGCCTGGTGGACAGTGCCCTGCTACTGCCCAGGGAAACTTTGTCTGTGTGCTGCACTTCTGGCTGCCTGAGGGTGTCCCATAGCTGAGCTCCAGCACAGGGGACAGGACCTAAGCAGTGACCTGTGGGTCCTCCCCTTGAGCAGGGGCTGGCAGGTGAAGCCACCCAGAGGAGTCCAGCATCCTTTGGTGCCTCTCAGGCTTGGGCAGCCACCGAGGACGAGGAACACTGGGGAGCCTGAGGGAAAAACGCGTGGAGGACAGATGGAAATGGAAAAGGGGGTGGGCAGCAGGCAAGAGCTGGAAGGCAAGAGGAGGGTGAGGTACCTCCAGCGAGTCCCTGGCTCAAATGGGGGTGTCTGCAGGGCTCCTGTCCTTGCTGTGGGGTGGCCAGAGAGGAATGGTGAGGGAGGGCTACGCTTTGTGCTGGCAAACACCCTCTGTGATTTTGCACAGGCATGGGGGGCTTGAAGAGGTGGGAGGGCAAGTCTGGAGCCCTCATTAGAGCCCTGTCACAGCGCCTGGCTTGGTAGGGCATGGATGCCCTGCCCAGGGGTGCTCTGAGGAGGGGGCTCTGGTGGTGCTGTCTCTGCCCACCTGGCAGCCCCCAGCTCTGCCCTGGGGCTCTGTGCTCCCACGGAGGGGCAGGGGGTGCCCCTTTGGCCCAGCAGCAGGGTCAGGAGGGGACGTGGCAGCACACGAAGCCCCATTTGCAGAGTTCTAAAGCCCAGCTGATCACATCACGCCCATGGAGTTTGGCTTGGCACGCGCAGCTCGGCTCAATCCTGCGCTCCCCTGCCGCCTCCTCGGCGTTCTGCTCTGGAATTAGTGCTTTGTTTGTGAATCAGCTGAATCTATGGATCTGGATATAAATATGCTGGCTCCAGAGCAGCCATAAAGCACTATTAATTTTGGGAAGCGCTGTAGGGATTACATACATATTTAACAGCCGAAGCACTGAACATTAGGACGCCACTCGCTTCAGTAATGTATCTCCAGGTCTCAAACATTTCCTAGGGGGTAATTCTGAACTCTGTGAACCACTTATTCACGGACTATTTCACAATTTATTACTGAAAATAGCCAGACATCCAATTCACAAGCTCTCTCAGTTTGCTAATCGATTTCTCAGTGAAGGTGCCCTCAATTTCATAACTTCACAGTTCCCATATTGCTTGGGGAGAGCGGCACTGGCTGCTGGGGTAATATTTCTCTTCCAACAAGTCACTGCAATATGAGCAAAAGGGGAAAAAATAGCCTTTCATGCTTTTTCTTTTAAAGGCTCCTCCTATGGCTCTTCTCTCGTCATTTACAGCAGTGCAGAACTACAAAGGGGTGTTGCAAATGCAAATAACATCCAGGGCTCTATTTTATGTTTCAGACTCCAGCAAACGCAGTGCAATCACTGCAGAACTCAGGTCTGAACTCATTCCCTCCTCCCCTGGGCACAGGGATCCAGGACAGCCCTGGTTCCAAGGTGGAAAGTCCGTAGCACGTGTGCAGGCCCATGGAGTGGCACAATTAATGGGAACTGATATCACCCCGAGCCTTATGTAATTCGTACGTGCTCACAGAGCTGGAGATGGAAATTCTGCCTGAGAAAAGCCTGTCAAAGGCAGATGGCTGACAGTCCCCTCCTGGCTCCATCGTTTTGCATTATGCCGTGGCCTTTGAGGTATGGTGGGTACCATGGCCTGGACCCAGACAATTCCACAGCCATGGAAATGTTTAATGGGAAAAATGTCATGTGGTGGATGGGAAGTTCGTTAGGAGGAGTGGCTGATTGGCAAGGAAAGCTGCTGCAGCATCTGTCTTTGGCTTATGTTCAGCTCCCACCCTGCTAACCCCTTGCTGAGTGATACAAGACCTTTGGTTCCAGCCCTTCTGCCCCAGACCAAGTGTCCCCTGTCTCTGTTCCCCTCTGGGCACCTTGATCCCATTCCTTTTATGATACAAATCCACGCTATATCCAGTCCCATCCCTTTAAGAGGCACTGGGATGCTGGGAGCTTTCAGAGACATTGGAGATCCCTGGGACATCCCTGGGGTTCAGGGGGAAGGACAGTGACAGTCCCCTACCAGCACCGTGGTGACAATCAGAGATCTGTTGCTCAGCGAGTCCGTGACGTTGGGCCCTCGTCCTTTGGAGATTTCTGTGATGTTCAAACCATCTGAAGGGCTCCATGCTCCAACCTGAAAGGAAGCAGAGCAACACAGTGAACACCCATCTCCAATTCCCCAATCCCTACCTGCATTCCTCAATCCCTACATTGCATACCTCACTTGTTCCCAGCATCCTACTGGCCTGGAAAAGAGAACTTTCTTCTTTTGTCTGCAGCAAAACGTCCCTACCTGCATTCCTTAATCCCTACCTTGAATTCCTCACAGCATTCTACTGGCCTGGAAAAGAGAACTTTCTTCTTTTGTCTGCAGCAAAACTGGAATTACCATAAACTAACCCTTCGGCTGCAGGTCAGTCCAGTGGCACATGTGGCACATGTTCCACAATCCCTGTGCTGCTGCAGTGGATGAAGACTGTGGGGACTGGAATTTAGGGGCTGAATGAATGAACAATTTGCAAAGGCACCGCATAAAGCAGCAATCAAACCACACTAAAGAGTCAAATCTGGGCAAGGATAAAGCACAACGAAAGAAAAATAACCACAAATCTGAGTCCATTTTATTTCTTTTCCATTTCCCCACCAATTTGCTTTGGTGGGGAGGATTAAAAATGGCTCGACCAGCTCTGCAGATCCCTGATAGGGACCATTCCTGCTCTCTGTGCCATGGAAAATCAGCTGCAGGTTTCTAACACATCTCTTGGCAGGGCCCTGGGCCCCCCTTTGGGAAATCCCTGCAATGGGGGAGTCTCAATCCTGGCTGCAAACCTGGAGGAGGGGGTGGCACAGGCACATCAGCTCCATTTCAGGTGCTCAGGTTTCTCAAGCTGTCAAATGTAATAAATTATTAGACTTCAATGAAGTCTATTGATCCAGAAATGGCAAAGCATGTCTCTGTTTAAGGAAGTCATCTGGGTGAGGCTAAGCCTGTTAACCTGATCTCCACGGTGCAGGGGAAGCTTTGGGACAAACTTTGAAGGCAGGAGTGGCTAAAGGACTGTGACAGTGAGATAAAATGTCAGGAAAGCTGGAGCAATGTGGGAGTGCTGCCCGCAAATGGAGCAGGGTGGCCATGGAGCCAGCCTGGCAGTGAGAAAAAAACAAACCCCACCTGGAAATGGGAACAGAATGATCCATCTGCAGGGTCAAACTGCAAGGTGGGACTCGGAGAGAAGCCAAAGGCAGCCAGCTCAATCCACCAGGGAGCCAGCAGCTTCCCATCTTTTATTTATTGCTGTTTTTAAGATTCTTCAGCCTCTTCAGCAGTCCAAGGGGAGAACTTGGTTTTACTGCCTCCCCAAAAAGAGACTTTGTAATGAGCAATGCTGCCTGGCAAAAAAAATTGTCATAAATTCTAGAAGAGTTTCCATGAACTTTGTGAAAGGTTTTAAATATTTCAGGTAAAACTGAAGCGATCCCCCATCTCTGCCTTGGATCACAAAACAGCTGCAATGTCAAAAATTATTATTATTGTGGATGGGAAAAAAGCAAGTCTGAGAGGCCCCAGTTTGCTGCACTGCAGCCCCAATCACTTCTGCCTTGCTACGTTTTCTTTAAGAAAATTAAATGCATGGCACTTAAGGCTGAATTAATCAGTTTAAAATATTAAAAAAGGAAGAAAAAGGAAAAAGTGCTTTAAGAGAACTGTGTGAGTCAGATAGTCAAACTATATGTAATTAGGATTTGGTAATACTCCTGTAATCCCTGGAACATCCAGGAGGTATGAGGATCAGGGGTTCAATCCTAAAGCTCAACAAACATAAGCTGTGATACATAAAGCATAATCCAGCTGGGATTTGTTTGTAGTTTGGTGTTTTGTTAGTTCAGATTAACTATTGACAGAATTCTGGCTTCAACAGAGATTTGACATCGATACTTTAAAACCCCTCTGGAGCTGACACGAAGCTTTCAGAAAAATAATGGTGGGAACTGTGAAATCTCTGAATTATTGGAGACAAAAGCTGATGGGGTGTGCAGGGGACACGTCGAGGTTTGGCAGCTTCCAGTGTGCCTGATGTGACAGAGAACTGCAATAACTCCAGCTGGTGCCAGCTCTGCTCAGCCCACCTGAAGGTGTTGGTTTGACAGGTGATTCTGTGGCTGTGCTTAAACATTTGGATTCATGTGGTACAAAAGGCTGGCCTGTTTTCTATTATCTGCCCAACACAGCTCTCCAGCAGCGTGTCGGTGCTGCTGGACTTCAAAAAGATGTGTTGTTATTTTTGGTTAGGCTCTATAAACAAAATATTTTTGTAAAAAAATAAGGCTATAAATGTCAGCTGATGCTCAGTTCTTGTGAGGCACCAGCACCTTCCCCAGCTCTGTCCTGCCTCCTTTCTCAGCCAGCGAGACTGAAGGTCACTGGGTTGATTTGAAATGTTTCTTTTATTCCTTATTTGACACCAAAATCTCCCCAGCAGGAGAGAGCTGTGGTGACCTTGAGCTCTGTTACCTGAGGCACCGAGCTGCTGCTGTGGTGGGGAAGTGTGGCAGCCATTCATTTCAAATCCCAGGAATACCGGCCAGTGAGGAAGGGGGATGTGGCACGGGAGCCTCCCAGTGCAGGATCCATCCCCTCCAGACAGAGGATGGATCCAGGGCTGCCTCCCTGTGCCGAGTGACTAATTCCCTGGACAAGTCCCCTGTGCTCTCAGGCCATGCACAGGTAATTGAAATCCCTCCCTGCTGCCAGCCAGGTGTCCTGTGGGTTCAGAACCTGTCCCCTGCCCAGAGGGACAGAGCCAAGAGTCTCAGAACCTGTCCCCTGCCCAGGGGGACAGAGCCAACAGGCTCAGAACTTGTCCCCCTGCCCAGAGGGACAGAGCCAAGAGTCTCAGAACCTGTCCCCTGCCCAGGGGGACAGAGCCAACAGGCTCAGAACTTGTCCCCCTGCCCAGAGGGACAGAGCCAAGAGTCTCAGAACCTGTCCCCTGCCCAGGGGGACAGAGCCAACAGGCTCAGAACTTGTCCCCCTGCCCAGAGGGACAGAGCCAAGAGTCTCAGAACCTGTCCCCTGCCCAGGGGGACAGAGCCAACAGGCTCAGAACTTGTCCCCCTGCCCAGAGGGACAGAGCCAGCACCGTGCTTGGCTGCCACGGGCACCTGGTACCTGTCGGAAAGCAGACTCTGCTCCAGAAAGGGCCTTGCTGCCCTGCCAAATTCCTTCTGTACAGGTGATAGACACCTGTAGCAGGACAGGGACGCAGAGCCGCTCACAGAGTAGTCAGAATCATGGAATTTCTTGGAAATCACGTCTCCCTGTGCTCCAGCCACTTGCTGCTCTGTTTGTCAGCAGCTGATTTCACCTTGAAACCTGCATTCTAAGGGCTTTAAGGCTGTGTGTGTGTTGCCTTTTTATTTTAAGTTTGTTTTTTTTTTTAAGTAATTGAAGAGAAGGAAATTAAGTCCCCAGGCACACCTGGGATCAGATTTGCACATCAGCATGGTTTTACTGTGCCCAGAGGAGATCTGCACTAATTTGGAGGACCTAAGGCTGCAGTCTTCATGCTCTCGACCCTCATGACACCCCCAGCCAGGCAGGCAAGGCCACACTTCTCTTTTTTCCTTATTGTCCCTTAGATAATAAATAAAATACCCAGTGCATCATCCTGCAAATTCCAGGCTGTAATAAACTGGGGCTGTTCCCAGCCTTGGGCAGTTTTATAGTGGGAAATGACTCCAGATGATGATCTCCAGTGCTGTGGTCTCCTCAGAGAACAACTGAGGGTTTGTGAGCCAGGCCAGCAAGAGGGAGTGGGACAGGTGTCATTCCTGCCTGATAAGGGCAGGGAGGGGTTAATGGATGCTCAGAAAGTTTCTTTTTCCTCCACTATCCCAGGAAAGTGCCACAAGCACTTCTGCAATCTGTAATCCCACGCACTGGCTTCAGGGTGAGTGAGTCATGGTTGAGCATGGAAAAGGATCTGAGAAATCCCACAAAGTGAATATCCTTTTATATAAACCCCAGAAACCTGGAATCAATACAGCACCAACCATTCCTCTGTTGCTGAGCACCAGCGTTATCCTCAGCCACATGCAGATAAAACAAACCCTGCCTACCTTTTCAAGGCCGTCTTCTTTGAGACTGATGATATCCAAATCAAAATCTGTCCGTAAACCACTGGTTTTATTAAAGACAATGCGTCCCGTTAATCCTTCCCATTGGGCCTGTGGAAGGGAGAAAAAGTAGCAGGGCTGTTACTCAGTATCATAAATAATCTTTTGCCCTCCACTGTATGTTCTTTTAATTAGTCCTTATGCTGGTTCTTTCTCCCTAAAGAGCCTGATTAATTAATAATCCCTCTGCTGCTGCTCAGACTGCAGACGGAGCTGGAGATTTCCTTCACTCTCTTGCAGTCCTTGCTACAATTTCTGTTTGCACCTTTTGTGCTCACCAGCTGTTGCAGGACGTGATGACTCAGTAGAAAACGACTTGCATTTATCACGGCATCCTTGTGAGCTGCGTTCATCCTTGTAGTGCTGATAAACACCGGCTGCAGGGAGCCGGCTCTGGGACGGCTCCAGCCAGGAGAAATCCCTTTGTGCACCAGCTCGCTGGTGCTTCCAAGGTGTGTGGAAGCTTAAATGTTGGGAATGCTTCCCTCTGTCCTTCCAGAGGGAGACTGGAGCAGAAGAGGCCAAGAATGAGTTCATGCGAGCAAGATCTGAGGTTTGGAAACAGGCACAGGAGTCTGGGGCCACGTGCTGCTGGTGCCCTGCTTCAGTTTTTGGCAGCATAAGGACGGGGAAGGTGCTCACTGGGACTGGGGACATCCCATTCCCAGAGATTTTTCAGTGCTTGGCTGACTGAGATCCTGAACAGCCTGGTCTGACAGGGATGAGGAGCAGGAGCTTGGGGTAAAGATGCCTCAATTCAATTCCACAAAAAACCCCCCACGTTATTAAATTTCTTTCCCACTGTTCATTTTGCAGCACCCCTGGAATGAATCTCTCTGATTTAGGAGGTGATAGAACCCCCAGTGCCAGGTGCTCTGTGCCAGCAGAGCAGGAGCTGGGGGACAGAGAGGTGTCCAATCCCTGGGGACAGTGCTGGATGTCCCATTGTCCTGAGGAGGATGTTCCTGCAAGAATGCCATGCTTGCTGCTCAGCATCCCATCCCAGCAGTGGGGAGCTGAGCCTGGGGATCTCTCCCCTGAGCAGCCCTGTGCAAGCTGCTCACTGGGAAACGTGTTTCCTTTATGGGTGGGGGAGCTTGAAATGTCCCAGTGTGATCAAGGTGGCATAATGTATTCCCAGGGGGAATAACTGGCGTTTCTCCCAGTAAACACCCTCCTCTGGCTCCCCCTCATTAATTCCTGAGGAGCAGTGACAGCCTGCTCCCAGCCTTGCCACCCTGGAGTCCTGGGGAGGCTCGTGTTTGCTCATTTGGGCGTGCAGGTGGTTTGCCTGTGGGACATGCAGCCCTTGGAGCCCCCCGGGAGCCGGGGAAAACATGGAATGTTTGTTGTGCCCAGCTGGAGCAAACACAGCTGCGTGCTGAGCCCTGCAGCTCCCGCGGGGCTGCGGTGCTGCTGATGCCTTTTTAGGCTGCCTAAAAACAGAGGCCAGGCGACATTAAGAGAATAAAAAGGGTTATATTTGTGGAAGGGTCTTCAGGTATATTTTGGGCAGATGAAACCTCCGCCACAGGGGCTACACCCAAAAAATGGATCACAATGGATTTTCACACTTTTATAAGTTTGGTGCATTTGCTTATTGCAGGTTCATATTCCAATTATAGCTTCAGGTAGTGAAATAATTTTACCCCAAGTTTGCTGCACCCAACTCCTTTTTGTTTCCATCTCTCAGGGCCGGAGGCAGTGAGGTGTCCTTGATTACCAGGCCTGCAGAGGAATTGTTGTGTCTGCCCAAAATGGGAAAGCAGCAGCTCCCACCGTGAGTGGAGTTTGGAGTTATACACTAAAGAACTCCAGGATTACAAATAGATGAAAAATAGAAAAGCTCAAATCCTGAGGCATCAGTGGGAGCACCGAGGGGCTGCGCAGCTCCTGGCCCAGGGAGTTTTCTAACCCTGCACCTGCCAAGCTTCCACCCGCTACTCCTCCAGGGGAACGTTTACAGTCGAACAAAGCCACGCTTTTACCTCTTTTATGAAGTTCATGAAGCGGCCGCCGAACCTCCAGGCCTTGTGGCGGTGGCACTGCAGGGAGTTGACGGTCATCTGTGGCGCGCGCTGGTAGCACACGGACACCACGTGCACCGCGTCGTACAACAGGGCAGCGTCTGTCTAAAGGGAAGGGGACAGCGCTGGTGGCCGTGGCGGCTCGTAGGAACAGGTGGAACCCGCTCTGAGCTACCCCCGCCAGCCCCAGGGCTTCTCTGTCTGTGTTCCCTGGTGGTTCCTTGGTTGTTTAGATCAAAGGCTCGGGGTTTTGTCTAAAATCAGCGATTCTGGAAGTGTCGTTTGGCTGTTCGGGTTGTTTCTTGCACATTTCCTGCTGTGGTGTCAAAGAGGGAGGCAACGGCTTCTAAATGTGGAAGGTAGTAACAGAGTTTTCTTATTGAGTCTGTTTTGTCTGAGTGTAAAAAAAAAAACTGTACAAGAACATATTTTCTACACTATTTTATACATGGGAAAATAAGAAACAGAGATGTTTGTGGGCACACAGTTTTCCAAAAATGACACAAGCTGTCACCAAAATCAGGACCTCATGGCTTTGTAACATATTCTAGCATTTCAGTGATCTGAACTAGGGAGAACTTTTTTCCCCCATATAATGTGATCATTTTAGATTCAATTTGGGATGCCCCATCTTACATCCAAACACTGATCAAGAGAATTGGATTTATTTTTCACTCTGATGTGGTAAGACCTCCTAGTGAAAATACATTATTTGCTGGCTTCACGGAGGCACGAAACAGATGTGAGTGTAGCAGCAGCGTAATAAACCACAATGAAACAAAATAATACAGCAAATAACTGAGCAAACATCTCACAGGACGTAGCCATGGAGAAAATCCTCCAGCCTTGGCAGCCATCCCTTTGACCTTCCCTTCTCTCAGCAACCAAGCATGAAGAGCAGGAGCCCCACCTGCATCCGTGGGCGGGTATGGACCACAGCAGGGACAAGTTTGTGAGTTTGGGGCTGGAGGAAAGGGGAGGCAAGGATACGTCCATGCAATTTCATGGTGAATTACAGACTGTAATGCCCAGCTGAGTCCAGGGCCCCAGTGGATAGACACCTGGCAAACAGGAATCAAAGGCAGGAGCCCTCTGAGAGGGCAAAGAGGGGCTGGGAGGAGAGGCAGTGTTGGGGACTGAGCTCTGCTGCAGGCACAGAGGGGCTCAGCCCTGGGCAGCCTGGGGACAGGCAGGAGAGTGGGGGTCTGTCGTAGGTTAAGAAGACTCCTCTCTCCCTGATGGATTTGAGGGTTGATTATTTGAGGGGTGATGATGGACTGAAGGTTGATTATCTGAGAGGTGGTGACGGGGTGGAAATCTATGGTGTTATTTCATTCTGTGGAGAAAATGGAGGGGAGGAGGAGGAATGTATTTGGAGGTTTTCCATTGTGGATTGCTGTGTGTGGGGGGGTTTTTTTTTCCCCTTTTTCCTTTTTCCCCCTTTTGTCTCTTATGTTATAGATTAATAAAATGTTGGTTTTTTCCCTCCATTCCCAAGTTGGAGCCTGCTTTGTTCTGTTTCCGGGTCACATCTCACAGTAACCATTTTGGAAATACACCTTCCATGGGGGCCCTGGCATTGTGCCAGGGTCAAACCATGACAGGGTCTCTCCCCTAACAACAACCACAACAGCGGGGATCTGAGGAGCCTTTTCAAGGTGAAAGTCTGGGAGGCTTTGCCACTTTGGCTCTGGAAGATCTAAAGGGAGGGGGAAGGAGGGAGCCAGTCAGCAGTTCCGGGGGTCGGAGACAGCCTGGCAGGGAAGGCAGATGGGCGAGCAGGTGCTGCACCTTCCGAGCAGTAACTCAGCAGAGCAGAGCTGCCATCAGACCCTAAAGGAGTCATCCAAGCTGCAGCTCAGCCCATCTCTGGCCACTTTGGCTCTTTCCCCTATCTCAATCTCGGCAAAGCGCCTGGTCCAGCCCGGCTGTGTGTTGTGCTCCCAGCCCTGGGAGCTGGTGTCCCTCTGCTCTCGAGGGCGGCTGGAGCTCTTTGGGACATGTCCTGGCTACCTGCCTTCTCTGGTGGCAATCTGTTGGCAGCTGGGCCCAAGCAGGAGCATCACCCACAGCAGTGGGGTGTGGGCTTCACCCCAGACTTTGAGGGACAGTTGTTGAAGAATGCAAGAGAGCAGCTCCAGGCAGACACCTGGGATGAGTTGTTACTGGTACAAAAACCAATAAAAGTAACATTTAGGCCTCAATTGTCGCCACATTTCTCTTCACAGAGAAAAGCGAGGCACAATTCTTCCCAAGAATATTTCTGGGTTTCACATTCTCTGAACATCAAAGAAAGGAAAAACAATTCTTATCTCATTTGCTGTGTCTGTGTTGTGCAAAAGTAGGATGCAAAATGGAGATTGTTTATCCAGAGCGATGGTGTTTTGCTTCCTTGGCCTATCAGGGCCAAGTGTGTTTGTGTGTTGGGACTGTCAGTGACAGGCACGAGATTCAGGGCAGTTGTGTGCAGAGTTAAGTGATTGGCAGATTCAGTTTAGATGTAATGTAATATAATGTAATATAATATAGAATAATAGAGTATAATAAAGTAATTAATTAGCCTTCTGATAAGATGGAGTCACATTTTGGTTGGGGGTGAAAATATCATAGATATTTGACTGTTCCTGCCTTGCTTACCACCCTGCCCTGCTGCCCAGACCCCTGTGCCCTGTTTGAACTGCCCGTACCATCATCACACCATCCAGAAGCCCCAGCTCTGCCTTGGGCGCCGACTGCAGCCTCTCCATGGACCACTTCTCAATGATGGAGGACACGTGTGGGTTCTCCACGTTGAGGATCCGAAAGCCGGTCAGGTTCACCCCAGAGTAGCGATATGGTTCTAGGTCTAATGCATAAAGATCCTTAAAAGAGAGAAACCGGTTTAAACATTTTGCTTAGCTTTGTTTTGTTTGAGTTTTCTGCGTCGGTTCATGTCTGTGTTTGGAGCGAGACAGCAGAGCCCACAGAAGGTGGGAGGGAGAACAGATCCCTCAGGAATTCAGAGGATTGTGCTGCCTGCTGCCGTCAGCGGTGCTTGCAGAGGGCTGTAGGTGTTGGTGGAATCTGGGTGCCGTATGTGCAGGTTCCCCCACACCCAGCAGAAGGGAACTCCTACCAAAGAGCCAAAGAACCCAGCATGAAAGAGAGTGGATTGTGGGGGGAAAAACAGAAGCACTGCCTGTGACACTGAAAAAAGAGATTGTGACCCAGGGAGGGGGGACAAGGCAGAGTTTCTGTCTCTGGAGCTCCCATGGGCCTTTCCAGAGAGGATTTGCTGGCAGTGCTGAGGCCAACAGGGTGCTGCGGATGACAGAGTCACTCTGAATGCAAAACACCAATCTGCAGACTATCAAAGAGGAACTAAGACGCATTTCTTGACATTCTGACCAGCCTACACAGTCTGCAGATGAATGAGGGTGCCCTTTATACGATGTGAAAACCAGAGCCAGGCAGTGCTCAGCTCTGCTGGCTGCCAGCCTGAGAGCACTGCTTGGCAGGCAGCGAGGGGCACTGGGGCTACTGGGAGGCACTGGGGAGCACTGCTGTGGTGCAGCTCTTGGCGCTCCACGTGTCTGAATTCCATCTTCAGCGCTCAGCAACAAGTTTGGGGTTAGACAGCACGTCAGGAGCATGTGGCAGCTGATCTGCTCCCCAAAGCCAAGCAGCTCACCCGAGGGGGAGTGAGGGAGTGGTGAGATGGCAGTCAGGGTGAACCGTTTGTTGGATGGGACATATTTCATCAGTGTTTATCCTGAACAACTTCTGCAAGGGTTTCATGGCAGTTTAAATGCGGGGAGGCGGAAAGGCAACACCGCAAGTCTGCAATGGAGCATGGGGGGGAATATGTGACATTCTCTGCTCTCACAAGCAGGAATATGTGACATTCCCTGCTCTCACAAGGGCTTCTCAAAAAGAGCTTCAAGATGGGATGAGCTGCTGTGGCTGTGCTGGAGCTGTTCTGTGCTCTGTGCTGGAGCTGTTCTGTGTGCTGGGGTTATTCTGTGCTCTGTGCTGCTCTTTTCTGTGTGTTGGGGTTGTTCTCTGCTGGGGTTATTCTGTGCTCTGTGCTGGGGTTTTTCTAGGGCTGTTCTCTGCTCTGTGCTGGGGCTGTGCTGGGGCTGTTCTCTGCTCTGTGCTGGTGGGACACAGCCACACTTTGGGGCCCCCCACCTGCAGCACCCACCAGCCCACAGGGGGCTGCCAAAGTCCCACATGTGCTGCCCTAAGCAAAGCAGAGCAGCAGCAGCACTTGCCAGCAACTGAGACACCATTCTCCACGGAGGAGTGAGGGTTCTTGTGGCTGTTTTGCTTTAATAAGCTTCTTTGGGGGTTTGATCTTTTCTGTAAGCCTGGCCCTGGCCTCTGCAGCCCCAGGGCTCACTGCTGATGGATGCAGTGCTCAAACCTGCAGGTGCAGCAGGGACCAAATCATTAATCACCCTACAGTGGCAGTTGGGTTTTTGGGCTGTTTTTTAACCCTGAAAAACTGCAAGTGCAAACCTGCACGTTCTGTTAAAGGGCACTGAAATCCAGGCTATAATGTTGACTTTTAAATGACTTAAGGGAGCTAAGGGCAAATACAGTGGTTTGACCTCAGACAGGTGCTCATGTCTCTGGCTGGGGGGGGGACAGCAGTTCTGTGCCTGACCTGCTGGAATGGGTCTGTTTTTCCAAGATTCATTTTTAATCAGACACTTCAGTTTGTATTCCAGAAATTTTTGTGAGGAAATAATTTTTGGTTGCTAAAGCTGATGATTTCCCCCTCAGAATGTGACTGGGTGTGACAAATCAGATCCCTGAGCTCCAGACCCCATGGTCTCTGTTGCCCATCTGTCAAACCACCAGCCCTGGCCACCTCTCAGATCCCCCTGGTATTTTGGGTGCTGTCCCTGCCCTGCTGCTCCCCACCAACCCTTCCTTTCACCAAGTTCCTATAGAAACCAACCTCCCATCAGATCCCTCTCTGGTTCCAGTTTAAATCTCAGCTGCAGCCTGATTTATCACCTCCTGGAATCAGAGGATAATTCAGAATACCAGCTGAGTGTCAGGACGTGGGGAGGTGTGGATGGGAATCATCAGATCAGTTTCTTCTGGATTTTCTGCTCCTGCACAGCCACAAATTGAAACATCTGGTTCTATTTTCCACCTCATCTACATTCCCTTTCACTCATTATTTTCTGTACTGCAGATTAATTCTCCCCTCCACCCTTAATTTTGCTCTCAGTGTTCCTGTGATGCTCTCCCCCAAATCAGGACAAGCTTGGGCTCCTTGGTGGTGGCAGCAATGCTGGGGACTGATCCTCAGAGATGCCACATCCTCAGTGGGAGGCTGCAAAGGTGGCATCCCTGTCTTCTGCTGCCCGTGGGTGAGTGTCCCCACAGCTCTGCCCTGGGATCTGGCAGGGCTCGGCTGTGGCTGCAAAGCCCCATTTCACAGACAGCTGAGACACCCCCACAAGGGTGGAGATCTGGGGTGTTCCCTGCTGGGCTTTGGGTGTAAAATCTGCATGTGACAGAGACCAGAGATCCTCCTCCTGCTCCTCCTCCTGGGGTGGAAAAGGCTGATGGGGCTCTTCATGCTGGAGTCAGTGAACTGTAGTCGTGCTGCCTAGCAAAATGTTGAAGCATTTCATGCCAAGTGTTGATACACTGTGCTCAGTATTGACTGGGGACCTTTTAGAAACATTCAGTATAACATAATAGACTAATTCATTAGCACCCCATGGGTCTCGTACTGGGGAAGCTGAAGCACAGGCATTGCAAGCTAGGAAAACATTGCCTTAAGGAATGACAGATTAAAATATCTTTCCCATGATATAACTGTTATTTCAGGAAAGTGGCATTAATTGTGATTGCTTATCTATTAATTTATTATAATTCCTCTTTTCCCACCTCCAGGCTGTACCTACACATGAAATGTACTCCAGGCTCAGCTGGGGCTGATTAATAGGAGGTTATCTGGGAAATGCTTAAAGCTGCCTGGAATAGATAATGGCAGCAGGGGTAATTAAAATGTCTTTTGCATTTGAAAAATAAATTTTGCAGTTTTTAAGGGTTAGTTTAGTCTGTTTCTTTCCTAAAGGCAAAAAGATAAATTAGATTTTCAAAATCACACAAAATTCAACAGTAGACTAGACAATAGAATCTTAAATGGAGACAAAAGTGACCCTGCTAGGAAAGCCAAATGCCTCCTAGAGTCAGAGAGGACTGGTCTGTGTTTAACAGAGGGGAGTTAATGTCAGGCTCAGCTCCCCTCCTGCAAATTAAACCTGCAGGGCTGGAGCTGGGACCACAGCAGGGCTGCTCCTGGCTCCAGAGGGGTCCTGGGTGCTCATCCCCAGCTCCTGCTGAATCAGGGTCCCACCAAATCCAGTGTGGGGGCTGCAGCCTTGCACTCTCCCTGTGCTCACTGTCACTGTGTGGGGAGCTACACTGGAATCAAAGTGACTGGGAGGGAAAACAAAGCCAGAACCCACATCTGTGCACTGCAAAGGAGGGACTGACAGCTCTCAGGCAGTGCTGCAGGGCAGAGGAGGTAGAGCCAGGTCACTGGGGTCTGACCCTGACCTGCAGCCAAGCCCAGCCCTCTCCTCTCCTCCTGGCAGGGTCCAAGGTCCCCCCTTTCCTTGCATTTCCCATCCCTTGGCAGTGCAGGGCACACCAGGATCAGCCACCCATCCCTCCAGCTGCCCTCTCACATCCCACCCCCCATCAGTGTGCACAAGGTGTGTGCACAGCCAGATACTTTACCAGAGTGGTGAAGATGAAGTGGTAATACTCTGTCATCATCCCCATTGCCATCGCCTTAAGGAGAGGAGGGAAAAGGGGTTAGTCAAGGGAGACAAGAAGATAACAACAGCCATGCAACATAAAACTCAGAGCTCACAGGTAAATGTGGCAGGAGAGACCCAGAAATGCTGGGTTTGAATTCAGGATTGAGGCCATGGAGCAGTTAAGAAACTGGAAACACCAGGTTTGGATTCAGGATTGAGGCCATGGAGCAGTTAAGCCAGGCCCATCAGCAAGAGGCACATGTTCCAGTGCTGAGCTGAGCAGAGCTGAGGTCCTCAAACCATTCTGAAAGCATGGCAAAGCCTCAGTGTCCAGCTTCCATGAGGGCTGGTGGCATTTCTGGTGTCCCTGGCTGTGCCAGGGCACTGTGGCGTTTCACCCATGGGTGCAGGATCCTCCAGGGCCACAGGCTCTGTTGGCACAGCTGTGGAAGAGGCGGTCACCTTTCCTTCTCCAGTACCAAACCATGAGCAGAACCCCCCAAAAACCTGTGCAGACTGACCATAAATAGCCTGTTCTGGAGTCACACATCCATGTAGTGGCTGAGAAGGCAGCTGAAAGGATTTTGATTTCTGACACATGTAATTCTGGGGTTCTGCATCCCCACCCTCCTTCCTGAGCACAACAGTCAGATCCTGACTTAGGGCCTGGTTTAGAAGTCTGTCACATTCGTATTTTCTGAAAAATCCCTTCACCCAGGAATTTTCTCCTGGGAAGCTGAGAAGCCTCAGAGAAAAAGGAAAACAAAAATTATCTGATTTGCTTCTTCTGTGTTTTTCTGCCTTGGAATTGTTTACCAACAGGTGATTGTTTCATTGGTTTCATGTGAATTGTTTTGACTTATTGGCCAATCAGGGCCAAGCTGTGTCAGGGCTCTGGAGAGAATCACGAGTTTTCATCATTATCTTTTTAGCCTTCTGTAAGTATCCTTTCTGTATTCTTTAGTATAGTTTAGTTTAGTATTCTTTAATGTTGTATCATAAAATAATAAATTAGCCTTCTGAGAACATGGAGTCAGATTCATCACTCCTGCCTTCATCGAGGCACCCCACAAATCCAATATGGGTCAGTGAAGGTGTAGGCACAAGGATGGGGAATGGAAATATCCCCTGTGCCTCAGCTTTTGGGCATCAGGGTCCTGGGGGCCCTTGGCCAGCACAGCTTGAGATTCCCTGCCAGCCCCTACACGCAGGATGGCTCCTGCAGATTGCTGGGATTTGCATAGCTGAGCACTGGAGAGAACAGACTGTCCTGGAAGCTCTTTCAGAGGACAACCATGGGCTGAAGGGGCCTTGGCTGGATGACCATGCCCTTCACAACAGGAGGGGAGCACATTTCAGTCTATGAGAGAGGTCACCTTGAAACTGGTGGCTGGTGACAGGAAGATCCCTGTTCTGTTTGGCTGGGATGCTGACTGTGTGAGCATGTTTTCTGGAGAAAACACATGCAAGAGCACTTTAAAATCCCCACTGATGGGAAAGTGACTTCAAGTCCCCCCAGGAAATGTTTGCTTCCCTTGGTTTTTTGCTAAAATTACTAGGGCGGAATTTACCTCCGAGGAAGGAAGTGACAGTCTGAAAAGAAGTGAGATGTCAAAAAACAAGGGAAAAGGAAAGGATCTGGATTGCAAGCCTAGATATTGTGACTCCAGGGTGTGATTTCACCCCAGGTTTCTTGCTCTGGAAGTAGCTTTTAGAAAGTCTGGGGGCTGTCCCTGTGGCCATTCACCGTCCTGCCCCCCAGTCCCTGCCTGGTCAGTGCATCCTGGGGGCTGCAGTGTGGCTCTCCCCTCCTGCACACCCTGAAGCAGGGAATGGCACCTCAGTGTGGGAAGCACCAGCTAGTGATGGGGAGCCAGTCTGGAGCAAATAATGAGATCCCAGTTCACGTTCTATGGCTGGATCACTCTGGCCATAGCTGAGGAGCCCAGACCTGCTGTCAGAAGGAAGCTCCAGCTTCCCAGCACTGGCAGCCTGGGGCAGGATGCATCTGGGTTTGTGGGGAAATGAATAAATGATCATCCTGGTGGATAAGCCACAGGCAGTGGCTGGGATGAGAGCAGGAGCTCTGTCAGAGCTGACAGGCACAGCTGTGCCCTGCAGAGCACAGAGGCTGCTCGGGACAGCTTGGGAACAGACCTGGAGCGACAACAAGGGACCAAAACTGAGGAAGGATGGAGAATCTGGGGTAGAACAGGAAAGCCTCATAAGCACGACTCACTTTGTGATAGGTTTCTACAATTACTTGTTTTCCAAGAGGGCAAAATAATAGATGGTTTGATGTCTGTTCACCAAGGGACCCAGGCTGGAGCAGTAGGTGACAATCTCTGTACAGTTGTGCTGCCTCATGTGGTGTTACTCATGGATTACTAATCCTTGGTGTTTTTTACTACTCCAGTTTAAAAAAACCTGCCCAGATGATCAGTGCTGTGCTGTGGGAGCATGGAATCTTGAATCTCTGGGGAGCAAGAACCCGACTGGCACGATGGTGTGTGCACTGCTCAGTCAGAGCTGCTCAGCCAGCACAGGCTGCAGGTGCTCAAACCTTCTGTGTTTTCAGAAGATGTGCAATGAAAATCAGTATCAGGGAGTGGAAATTTTAGCAAGGTTCTTGTGAGAACCTTGTTGCCATCCATGGGGGTGGCAGCAAGGCCAAGAGACTCCAGGGACTCTGTCCAGCCAAATGTCAGCAGAGCTGACTGGTGTACTGACCAAAATGTTACAAAAGACACATAATAGCAATAAAATATGATTATTACAAATTCTGGCATTAACAGAATCCTGGGCCTTCCTCATTGGGTTGTTTTGGGTTTTTTTCAGTCCATTATTTGTTCTGTGCATTGTTCTTCTGCCACTGTGAAGGGAAGCAGACTCTGCTCTTCCAGGAGATGGCTTTGCCTAGCTCGTACTTTCAGTGGAAAAGAGCTGTTTCCCAAATAAAAGTGGCACTTCTAGGCATGCATTTCTTGCGAGGTAGAAAAGTGAGGAAAATATTAGGTTTCTACAGCTCTTAGTCTTCAGCTGCGGGTGACCTGCAGGTCGTGGTGCACTGCTCTGAACCTGCCTGATGTTACACACCAGAGTGGCCAGGCATGCAGAGAGCAGTCAGGCTGTGGGGTCTGGGTTTGTGCAACTTCCCAGATTCTGAAAAATACATCAGTATTTCCCTGAGTAAAAATACACAGTATTTTATTGCTAAGCTGAAATCCATGGCTTCAGGTCCTGACAAAACCCCGACACACACACACAAACGCAGCCAGAAGGACTTAGAGAGACTTGTCTCCCCTAGTCCCCCCTCTCCTCCATCTTCCTCACTCTGCACCAGCGGTGATGAGCTGAGCAGATGGCACAATAAACTATAATAAACTGTATAATAAGTGAGCAGCACCAAACACAACCAGCACAGGAAAATAACTGGCAGGAGACAATGAGCCCCTTCTATTGCTTCCCATAATAATCCCTCCCAGGCTTTCCAAGTTCTCTGAGCACTTCCCTTCATTTTGTGTCATGCAGGCTGCAGGAGAAGGCTCTTGCCTTGTGCTTGTTTTCTCATCCCTGCAGGGATTTATTTAGTCTGTGTGGTGGTGTTGTGCTGGGCTGATAGGAGAAACGCTTCCACCAGCTGGTTTTTAGCATCTCTGTGAGAGCCTTTTCCTCTGCCTCACATTGACCCTGAAACCCAAAGGAACTCGGGAATGAGGAGGAGCTGGGGTGAGCTGCAAGAATTCCAGTGGAGGAACTTGTGGAGGAAGAAAGGAGGGAGCCCAAAAGAATGGAAAATCACTGACATCTGGCTTAAAGTCCAAGAACTGCAGACGCTGCTGGGGAAAGGACAGAGGATGCAGTCCCTCCTGGCTGGGAGAGCCAGCTTGAATGAAGGGAGAAGGGGGATGAGGGAAGAAGGCTGGGGCTGTGCAGCTGCAGGGAGAGCCACAGAATTGTCCAGCACCAGCCTGGGCTGGGCGCTGCATTCAGCACAGCCCCTTCTCCTCCTGCAACATTTGTTTGTTCTCACCCACAGCCACTTTTTGGTACTTCCAGTTTTTGAGTGAAAACACCATTTTCTGTAGAAATCCAGCAGTGTCCTTGGAGGATGGACATGCTGTAGCTTTTAGTGCGGCTGTGGATTGTGGCCCAAGGAAAGCTGCACCCAGGGCGGGGTCACTCTTCATCGCAGCCACCCCATGGGCTCCTGGGCAGCCACTTTGCTGTCCTGCTGGCCCCCTGCTCACCTGCCTGAGGATCTGAGCTGCCATCAGGTGGCTGCAGTCGAAGATGATGCGGAATTCCCGGCCCCGCTTCATCTCCTTCAGCAGCGGCCGGGCGTCGTCGGTGTCCAGCGGGAGCTGGCGGATCTTCAGGCGGATGTTGTAGCGGGACGGGGCCATGATGAGCTCCTGCAGCCGTATCAGGCCTTCAGGTGTCACACAGAGACAAACCCACAGCGTTACAGGTCTGCCTTAGCCAGTGCTGGGCCACAGCAGCTCAGTGCTTCCCCTGTTCTCCATGGAATGGGATCAGGACTGACATCCATCCATCCATCCATCCATCCATCCATGATTCCATCCATCCATCCATGATTCCATCCATCCATCCATGATTCCATCCATCATCCATCCCCAATCCATCCATTCATCCATCCATCCATCCATCCATCCATCCATCCATCCATCCATCCATCCATCCCTCCTTCAAAAGGCCCTTGCCAAATCAAAGCCAAGGTGCCACGTGTCAACCATTGACCCCAGAGGAGCTGTTCTAGGACAGAATGGCTTTTCCTGGTGGTTCCCTGCCACCACTGCAGCCAGTAGAGCTGGATGGGTCCCTGCACTGGGTAGGAAGGGGAGAACAGCAGGTTGGTCCTAACCTCACACACCTTTGGGATCACAGAAAATTTCCTTAAGCAGATGTGCCCTTGAGAAAGGACAGGATGTGATAATCAGCTGCACAACAAATTAAAATCTGCATATTTACCATGCACAGCAGCAAAAGGAAAAAATGGATATGCACTTGGATTTATGAGTCGCGTAGATCGTAACGGTCACTTAATCACAACTCGTAACTTCCTACTACCCTCAGAATTCATTTCTGTTTCCTGCACAAGGCAAAGGCCCATGGTGGACGCAGCTGAGCAGGAATTATTGGAATCTGATGTTGCAAGGAGAATTTCAGCAGATGCCTAATGCAAGAGGGAAGAGAGAAGCGTGTCCCTCTGCACAGAAGAAACACATTAGAATATGCCACAAAGGGAACATACTGTGACCCACATTTGCAAAACAGGAATGTCAAACTGTGTTCTCATCAGCCCTCCCCTAAAGAAACCATTTGGTTTAGTGAAATTGGGTTGGACAGGCTATCCAATGTGGCTTTTGTTTTTTTGGGGGGGTCTATATCTAGAGCTGTGCAGCACTTTGTTTTGTTTAACCATCAACAGCTTTCCTTACATGAAGAACTTTGCCAGCTCTGTGTTACAGAATTATCCAGAAAACAAAAAAAACTTTCCAGAACTGCTTTTGGTTTTAGCTGGGAACTGCTCCCTCCATGGCAGCTGTGGACAGGGGCTTTTCTGTTGCAGAGGGGCACCACAGTGCCAAAAGAGCCAGGCTGAGATGGTCACCCCATGCCAATGAACCCCCCCCATGACCCTGTGCCAGCTCACAGCCCCACTTGCTGGAGCTTTGTGAATGAAATGCTTTAAAAGCTCCCAGGGCCTCCCACAGCACTGTCTAGAGCTCTGGGAACTCATCACTGCACGGGACATCATTTGGCTCTCGAGAGGGTTCACTGGAAAAGCTCCCAAAGAGACCCAGGACAGAAAATCTCCAGGATTCCTTCTCTGAGCCCCTCCTTTACCCACCTGTGCTGTCGTCGTACACCACGGTGGCTGACCTCCATTTCAGGTACTGCACCAGGTCCAGGATGGCGTGGCTCAGGGAAGCATAGTCAGGATACAGGTTGACATAGAAAGTGTCCTTGTTATCCAAAGGGTGGTGCTTCCATCGGAGCTGTATGTGGGGCACTTCCAGGGCGTTGCAGATAGACTGGACAGCGTTGGTGCAGGAGCCTTGGGAAGGTCCAAATATTGCAACGACCCCCAGAGCAAGCTGGTCACAGGCTGGAGGGGCAAGGAAGGAATGTCAGCAAAGCCTGGTGGGGCTGAGCATGGGACAGCCGTGGGCACAGCCCAAACACTTGTGGGCACTCACCCAGCACTGATATTGGGTAATTGCAGCAGTGATTGGGCACAGAGAGAATGATTTATGCCAGGTGGGTATAGACCGGTGGGTAGAGGTGAAGAAGAGTGCCAAGCTCCTCTGAGGGAGCCTCCACCACAAAACCATCTGAAAAGGGACTGGGAGAGGCACAGAGGAGTGCCAAGCCCCTCTGAGGGAGCCTCCTCCACAAAACCATCTGAAAAGGGACAGGGGGTCACTGGGCTGGCTGGGAGCAGAGAGCTCCCTCCTGCTGATGTCCCTCCAATAGCTGCCAGCTCAGGCAGCAGGTTTCCTTTCTCCCCAGCCAGAATCAAACTCCACGAGCCCTCAGGTCACCAGCTCGCAGCCTTTGCTGTGCAGTCCCTCCCCTTCAGCAATTCAAGTGTGCTGCTGTTATCCAGTAATCAAAAGTGACTGTTATTAAGAGAACAGAACATCCACACGATGGATGTGAACACTGCCAGGGATGCAGCTACACAAACACAGGCATGGCCTCCAGCCCTTTGCTCAGGATTAGAGCAAACGCTGAAAGGAGTTTTCTGAGGTTTCAGAGGCAAAAAAGGTAGTTGTTCCCCTTGTATTAAAATGCCTCTGGAAGGTCAGCTCCAGCAGGAGCTCTCATCCAGATCACTGGTGAGAGCAGGACAGAACAAGCTGCTGGTCTGGAAACCAGACCTTTCTTCTGCTGAATAAATGGCCACAAAGCTGCTCAGAAGTTTGCTCTGCTCTTACCTTTCTTAGTTGCTTCAAAGCTGTCGTGGAAGTGTATCCTCTGGATGTCATAGGTCAGGGTTGTGTTGGGCAGCAAAGTTCTGTTCCTGTTAATGATGTTGGCGGAGAATCTGAAGGCTTGTTCCTCAGCACTCATCACCTGCGTGTTGGGGCCATCTGCGTACTCAAAGATTCCTCCTGCAAGACAAAAAAATTCCACCCTTGAGCCACAGCTTGTTTGACAAACTCATGCAGCAGGGATGAGAAAACTCTTGGAATGTTCACAGGTGGAGCAGGGCTTGCTTGAGGACCTGTCCTGCACTGAAATGAAGACGTGAAGATTTGAATTTTTCTTATATTCTGGTCTATGAGAATGTTCAGGGTGGCAGCTTTGTGGGGCAGTAACAGGTGGTTTAAAGTCTTGCAATATTTTTACGAGCTAGATAAGTGGCTTCCCATAAAAATTTAGGACCAGACCATGGGAAGTGGACAGGCTTATTGCCTATGGTCTGTGCTCTGGGGAGTTACTGGGTACAAAACTGGCACTGCCCTCCTCTTGAAATCCTCCTGTTTCATCACCCATCTGGTCCTTGCACAGGAGACAGGCAGGGCAGTGCTGCTGGCTATTTTCAGTGCCATTTTCAGTCCCATTCTCCTTTTTCATTGTTCCTCATGTTTAGATCTCCCAGTTTTTAATTCAGACCAGCAGAGAGTTCTGGATTTGCCTACCCTACAGCTCCTCTGTTCAGTAATGCACATCTCGGATGCAGCTTTCCTGTGTTCAAAAGTTGTTAATGCCATTACACCTCCCCAAGGGCAGCAAGCTCATGTCACAGCATCGCTGGGTTTCTTGGCTCTGTGTCTGTGAGTCTTGTCCTCAGTTCCCACTGACAGCCACTCTAATTGGAGTGACTTGGTGCAGGCATGGCTTATGTAATGATTTGTCCTTGTCTCTGAGATGCAGGAGCCACCCTGAGCCCCTCACAGAACCACAGAAAGACACAAACCTTGCTCTATCTTATTCAAAAGTAAAGCAAAATAATTAATGGATGAGCGAAATAAGCAAGTACAATTGGTAACAGATGGTCTCAGGGTTCATTAGCAGAAGGAAAAAACCTTCCTCTTCAATTTAAGATAGTCCTCAAATGTTTTCTTGTAGACAACAGATGTCTGCTGAGCCCTGCTGGCTTTCAGGCAATGCCATGAATCCTCCTCCAGCAGCCTGAGCACATTTTCTGTACTTTTGTGGCAGTTTGGTGCTAGCCAGGAGTTCCAGTTTGGCCAGAGCCAAGCTGACAACTTGGCTGATGGCTGTGCTCTGGGTGTCCTCCCAGGAGTGTAACCAGAGCCATGGGTGAAGCACAGGAGTGATGGCTGGAGATGTCCTCAGCAAGGAAGCAGGACTTGCAAAAAGCCTCTGAGTTTCTGCTCCCCTTGATTGTGACAAGTCCCTTTCCTTCTCTCCCTCTGCAGTCTTTGTGCATCCTGTCCCCAGTTGTGAAGCGAGGGTGGGAATTAATTTCCATTCACAGACATAAAATAAGTTTGAGCTGTTTCCTGCATGTCTCTGCTAGGAAAAAACCCACTGAACTCAGTGCTAATTTTGGTAATAGGCAGAAGAATAAAGAAAGAAGAGGCTGAGTGCTCATTCTGGAGTGTCATTTCAATCTCACGTGATTTTCAGCCACTCACTCATGGGCAGGTTTTCAGTCCAGAACGCTGAGCAGCGTAGGCAGGAGTGTAGCAGAATTGTCCACGTGCCTCATTCTCACTGGATTATGCCAAAACATTTGGGTTTTGACTGGTGCAAAGAAAATTATTCATCCATATCAAAGTTTGCATATGCTGGCAGCTCAACTTAAGTTTCTTAGGGCAGAAGAAAGTTCATTTACAAAATTAAATCAGACACAATAAACAAAACTAAAGTGAGTGTGAGATTCACCCCATCTCTCTGTTCAAAGCTTCACTGTCCAGACTGTTTAGCCAGGGATTTTTTTGGTTTTTAGCATGATCCTGAAGTGATAAGTGGTAAATGTAACATTGATTATCCACTAGCTGGCATTAGCCTTTCTCCCAGCCCAGCACTTTCAAAGTTGCATTGGAGCATGTCTTATTATGAGAGAATACAGAAGGGCTGGGAATGTGGATTATTGGTGCTTGATCCTAAATAAATTCCCATTCCAGACATCCAGCTGGATATAATAGGCTTTTTGGCAGGAAAGAATTTTCTGTGCAGCCACCCAGCACCTTGAGCTCAGGGCCAGGTGATGAGAGAGCTGACAGGCAGCAGGGATGTGTTTCTGTGTATTTCCCACTGCTGGGAACACACCTGGAGTACTCTGGGACATTGGGAATCTCCCTGAGGTGCTGAGGGCAGCCACAGCATGCCCCAGCCTGGTGTTTTCTCAGAAACTGGGGAGACTGGGAGCACCTGATGTCAGATCTGTGCATGGCACACCCCTCTGGATCCTCACATCCCTCTTGGCTGCGCGCCGCTCCTTCAGAGACGTTCACTCCCATCTTTATTTAAAGAGCCTAATAACTGGCTTGAAACAGCTGATTAATGCATAATCTTCATCATGATTACACAGCATAACTGGCATTAATTTGCAAAGCCAGCTAATTATTAAAATAATTGTTGCAGTTCTTCCATTTGAGCAAAATGGAGACGCTCAGCTCGTGGCACTGAGAGCACGAGGGGTGTGACATCAGCTGGCTGATGGCTGGGCTGGGGGACCCCAGGGGTGCCCTGCAAGCCTCAGCAGGAGAGATGAAGGAGCAGGGCTGGGAAATCTGCTGCTGAGGGCTGGACAGCTGTGGGCAGCTCCAGCTGATCCTCCATGGGCCTTGGGCAGAAACCTCACCTGGCTTCACTCTCAGAGATGAGAGTTGATGGGTGTGGAAAGCTCACAACAAAATTCTCCACTTTTATACACCTCATATCGACAAATCCCACCCAATAAAGTAGAAGTGGAGCTCCTTTAGTGTTGCTGTCCCTCTCTAAACCTATTTTGGAAGCTAATTCCCATGCTGGAGATCACTGGATGCTCTGTGGGGCTCGTGGCCTTTCCCACTCTTTTCTGTCTGTGCAGGTCTCAGCTTCTCATTCCTTCTTTCTTCCTGTCCCGTGGCTTGGCAGGGAGATAAAAGATGTCCATAGCAAAGTCTATCATGCTTTGTGACATCCTCCTGAGGTTCATGAGAGGATTTGCTGCCTGATTTATGTGTGATGTTCCTTGACCAGTCAATAGAGCCCAAGGACTCCCCACTGCAGCATCAGGTGCTGTTCAACACACACTGAAGTTTATCAATTCAGGTTGGCTTTGTTTGCATAGATCTTTTTTCCCTGGAAACCTTTTTATGCCATGTTTGGGGGGCCTTTGGTGCAGTGGGATCTAGGACTGGGAGTCAGCCTTGTAGGAGATGCCTCACACAAGCTGTTGATGAAGGCTTATCACCTATTTTACATATTTTTTGATTAAGCAATCCATTATTATATCTGACTTCTTGGATTTTAAAATCAATCCCAGGCAGGTTAAATAATTATTCAGTTGTCTTTTACTCTTAAAGCAGACTAATTGCTCTCTGGAGAATGTCAGCCAGCGTATGGGAAAACACACTAATTACAATCAGCTTCACATCTGACTGTTTTATGTTATTTTATTTGATGACCTCGATATTGCTGTTAAGGTAAGGAGTTTTCAAAATCTGAAATGAGATTCCAGAGCAAGTGCCTGAAACTCCCTTAGGGTCTAGACCAGAGGAGCAGTAGTGGGGCTGGGCAGGCAGAAGGGGAAGTTTGGCTGAAAACCACAGAGGCTCTCACTCAGAGCAGCAAAAACTGAGCCTCTCTTCAGGGTAAAACCTGGATCCCACAGAACACCTAAAATCCCATTGATGGCAATCAGAACAGGCCCAGCTCTGTCTGCATCCAGCAAAACTGCACTGCATTCTTCTGTCCCCAGGGATGATGCTGGAAAACCTTGGGAATGGTAAATGACCCCTGGACAATGGGTTGGAAACTCTCCTCCACTGCTCCAGTGATCCCAGGACATGGCTGCATGGGCTCAGTGCCAGTGCAGCTATTTTTAGCTTTGTCAAGAGCTAAGTCAAGAAAGTCAAAGTATTTTAGGTTTTCATTTCTCCCCTCTTTTGCTTTTTACCAAAACAAACAGCTTTCATTCTCAGAAAGAAAATTCCAGCAGCCCTCAGCGTGCGGTGTGATCTCTTATCTTCTACTCCTTATAAATCACGGAGTTATTTAGCTTTGAAGAACAACTATTTCTGATAACACTTTTCTCTCCCCCGCTGACAGTGTTGTTCACACATTTAGACAGCTCTGACAGCCTCTTTCCATGTGACATCCGGGAAGAAATACCTGGTTTGAGACAGCTCTCACCGAGGATGGAGCTGGCAGAGCTCCTCAGGGACACGGGAGCTCCTGTTCCCTCTCACAGCCCTCCCATGCCCAAAGCTGTGTTTTTGTGGTTTTTTTTTCTCTGAGGTTATAAAATGTTTTTGCTGTTTCCTCCTGAGGCATGGGATTTGCCCTCTTCTGAGGACGAATCACTCTGTTTTGGGGACAGTATTAGCAGATATGAGGACAGGTACACAGAATTTACTGCCTTTTCCAGCAGGATGCTGCTCCACAGCTCCCTGAGGCAGAGAGTGGAGAATCTATGGAGAGTCTTCCTCACAGAGCTGCCTTCCTGGGAAGGCTTGGAGAACCTGACACTGCTGCTTGGCTGGCAAATCCAGTGGGGAGAATCTCACTGTCATGGCCCAGGTCCCCTGAGAGCTGCTGTTTATACAGCAGCATTATATAGAGAAATGAGATAACACTGCTGGGAAGTGAAAGAAAGTTCCCTGGAGCACAAGGTTGTGTCTGGGAATGGGGTTTCCACTCCCAGAACCTGCCCATCCTGGGGGATTGTGGCAGTCTCAGGTGCAATAATAAGGATGCAGAGAGAGCAAGGAAATCCAGAGGGTAATAAACACCAGCAAAACAAAAAGGGAAAGCAACGACAGATTTATTCACAAGAAATCTCTCCTTGCACCTTCCCCCAGGGAGATGCTGAAGTGAAATGCTCCAGGAGTGTGCTCCAAGGAGCTGGCCCTGTGCTCAGCCTGGCACAGAGCAGAGCCCCCAGGTGTGGTGCTGATGCCAGCTGGTCCCCAAACAGAAACAACCTCAGGAT